AAATGCCTGACTCCACATGTCTGCGAAGTTGATGCATTGTGCGCAACTGCCTGTTGCATGCCGCACATTGCGGAAGTCCTTTGCAGCTATGCACAGTGACCTGAAATTTTGGGCCTAGCTGATTCGCACTCTGTCCTCCATGCTTCACCAGAGTATGTTGCTGAAGACCCTTAGCGCTGGAAAATTTCCGATCGCACAGAGAGCACGGTACCTCCTGGTCTGCCTCGGTCAGGTCCAAATGCATGCTCTGAAGCTCCTGTTGCAGCGCAACAATCCTACCTCTAAGTCCCAGATACCACTGTATGTTCTGATCCGGGTTGTACTTCTGACAGGCATCTAGTGCGTCTTGATAGTTTTTCATCTGGCTGATCAAAACTGCTTGAGGAGTCTGAACCTTATATTGCTCGAACAGAGTCTTCGTGTCAATATGGCTGTAGTGCTGATGTTGCTTAAAGATGGATCTTAGCATCCTCGAGTATTTACTCTGAAGCTTCTGAAGACCTGATGAGGTGATGCCAGTGGCCACAAGCCCATGCAAGAGTGAGGATTCCACATAGACCCTCCAGATCTCCAACTTCTTTGAAGCCTCCAAGGCCTTAGTGGAGCACAGGATGTGTCGAAGTAGCTCAAACTTGCCTTGAGCTTGGGCGATCCTATAGTCAACAGTCTGGTCTTTGTAGGATCCATAGCTGAACTGCACCCCTAGATATGTTAGTTTGTGATGAATCGGAATCTTATGTCCTGAGGGAAGGACGATGTGCAACTGCTTCTCTTTGCGCATCGTGTGCTTTTTGCGAAAGATGGACTGCTGAGTGCCCTGAACCATTAGCAAGGCTTTGGACTTCGTTGGATTGACTTCCAGCCCCACGTCCTCAAGAGACTGAAAGAGAGCCTCTATTCTGAGCAGGACTTTCTGAAGTTCAGGAAAGCTCGAGAAGGTTTCCTGGAGCAGGAAATCGTCTGCAAAGACTGTTAGGATGTCCCTAGCTTGCTTGCTATCTGGGCCCCATTTCTGCTCCATTCTAGAAGTGTCAGCGCAGACCACAATGCCGGGGCTAGCTTGCAACCTTGTTTGATTCCTGAAGAAGTGGGAACTTGAATCTCTAGTCCACTTGTGCCCATGTTGTAGGAGGTCTCACTGTGTAGTTGAACTACCAGTTCTTTCGTAAAAGGGTCTGTTCCCAGGCGATCCAAGGCAGCTAGCAGCTCATGTCTATTAACAGAATCAAAAGCTTTGCTCAGATCAACCGAAATAGTAAGTGCCCCTGACAGCTGAGCCTGCCTGGCTCCGCGTTGGGACTTGTGCAGGTCCCTGCGATGCACTTGACGGAGCTGCTGCACGAAATCAAGGTGCTGACATGCTTTCGCGATGGCGTCCCGCACCCCCCTCTGCCTGATGTAGGCAAATTGCGGCTGAAGCTGTGAGCTCTCTTGCAGTGCTGGTGCAATGCGAGTCTTCACTGCGCCTGCTAGCACTTTGCCTGGCACGCTGATGACTCCTATGGGCCTCAGGTTTTTCATGGCGGTGGCTGGCTTGCCCGGCTTGGGGATCCATGCAATTCGAGGGTCCTTTAGATAAGGGGAGATTTCAGAATGGGACACCTCAGAGTTGATTAGACCTGCTATGTGTTCGTGGGCTTCAGGACCTAGACTCTTCCAAGCTGAAACTGGGGCTGAGGTGCTGGGGACTGCTTTCCCCACTGGCACTGTCTTGATTTGTGAGGATACCTGCAAGGCGGTGATCGCTGCTCTGGGCACAGCAGCTACTGAGTGCAAAGGAGGACTTTTGGAGAAGATTTGACTCGAGTATTCGCGCATTGTTTTTAGTGAGGCCTCCGTATCAAGCGGCTCACCTGCTTGATCCCTTAGGTTGACTCTCTGCACTGGGCGCCACGGAGCAAGTTTCCTGAGAGTATGAGCCAGTTTGTGGGATTGTTGCCTTTTATCTTCCTGGGCTTGTAGAAGCAACTGCTCTTGCTTCTCTAGCTTTCTTTGTTTTTGCTGTTTTTTGAAAGTCCGCGCCTCCTCCTTGATGTCCTCCACAAGCTTCTGGCATTCTGAATTATGCTCGGTTCCAGCCCTCTTGTGCGCCTGGATTTGCCGCACTTTCTTCCAGTATTCCTGATGAATAGGACCTGCAACTGGCTGAGACTTGCGTGGAGGAGGATAGTGCTCAGCTGATACACTAACCATCACTTCATCCAGTTCTTGCCAAGACGGTCTCACTTGCATTGTCCTCACCACTGCTTCCGTCAGACGATGTGAGTATGCCTGCCAGTTGTCATCTTTCCGCCGAAAGCTCGCATCCAGGGCTGTGGCATCAAACGGCCGTGGCTTGCTGGGTGTAGGTCTGTAAGGAGGAATGAACAGAGTGGCTCGCACTGGAAAGTGTTTTGATCCATCTCTGTAGGCAGCCACAGGAAAGTTCTTATCCGAGTAGGCCTCCTTGGATCTCCTCCGAGCATCGTGCAGTCTGACCAGCAAAAAATCGATCTGAGAGAAATATGTGCCATCACTGTTAGCATACGTACTGCGATGGCCAGAAGCCCATGTGTTCAGCGCAGTTAGTCCACAGGATTTGCAGAGCGAGGGCAGTGTCTTCACATCCGCATTTGCAAACAGTACTCGATGAGGCACACTTGGTCCGATATGAGGACGTTCAGTCACCGCATGCGCATTGAAATCCCCAGCCACAATCAAGAAGTCACGTTGTGGGACTCTCTGAATTCGATTTTCGAGCTGTGTCATCACGTCCTTTCTCCTGCCTCTGTTTTCCGTCTTCGAGAGCTTTGAATCCCAGACGTGCTGGCACAGGTTCAGGAGATGTATTCTGGATCTCTGCCACGGGATCATGACATGCTGCAAATGCCCTGGAACAATGGAAGTGCTGCGAATTTCTGAAAGAGGAGCCAGTGAGCTATGCACCAAGACAACCAGGCCAGCCTTGTGTCTGCTTGTTGAGCCACAGGTTAGGACTGACCACGGGCCTGAGCTGTAGACCTGGTCCTGCTGCCAATGCGATTCCTGCAGGAAAACGATTTTGATGTTCTTGTACTCTGTTGTTGCCAAAAGGGCCAGAATCTCGTTCCAAACTCGACTTGTAATTGAGCCTGCGTTCCAAGTAAGGACTTCCATGTCAAATTTGTGATGGATCTGTCTATTCGGTTGAAAAGAACGCCTCTCCGCTTTCGCAGGAGACGCGAATTGTCCTTCATGAGCTCCTAGAGCCTGAGCTGTCAGAAGACGGCCTTTGTAAAGTGCTGCTCCCTTCGCCAGGGCAACTTTACAAGCTCTTTGGTAGCTTCGCTTGCCGGTTTTGTTCATGGTTAGCTGACTTCGCTGCGCATGCTGCTCAGCTTCATCGGGGGGCGCTACTTCCCGAAACCCTCGATTCTGATCCATGGCTGGACCCTGGGACTTGGGACCCAGGCACCCAAGAAAGCTCGCTACGGCTACGAGAAATAAAATCCTCATCTTGGGCCAGAATCTTACACCACAACAACAACAACAACAACAACAACAACAACAACAACAACAACAACAACAACAACAACAACAACAACAACAACAACAACAACAACAACAAGCAACAACAACAACAACAACAACAACAACAACAACAACAACAACAACAACAACAACAACAACAACAACAACAACAACAACAACAACAACAACAACAACAACAACAACAACAACAACAACAACAACAACAACAACAACAACAACAACAACAACAACAACAACAACAACAACAACAACAACAACAACAACAACAACCAACAACAACAACCAACAAGAACAACCAACAACAACCAACAACAACCAACAACCAACAACCAACAACAACAACAACAACAACAACAACAACAACAACAACAACAACAACAACAACAACAACAACAACAACAACAACAACAACAACAACAACAACAACAACAACAACAACAACAACAACAACAACAACGACAACAACAACAACAACAACAACAACAACAACAACAACAACAACAACAACAACAACAACAACAACAACAACAACAACAACAACAACAACAACACACCAACAACAACAACAACAACAACAACAACAACAACAACAACAACAACAACAACAACAACAACAACAACAACAACAACAACAACAACAACAACAACAACAACAACAACAACAACAACAACAACAACAACAACAACCCCAACAACAACAACAACAACAACAACAACAACAACAACAACAACAACAACAACAACAACAACAACAACAACAACAACAACAACAACAACAACCAAACAACAACAACAACAACAACAACAACAACAACAACAACAACAACAACAACAACAACAACAACAACAACAACAACAACAACAACAACAACACACATCACGTGTAACGGATGGGGGGCCAAAAAATGCGCACTTCTGCACGACGTCCAGCCGATCGGAGCTCAGCTTCCGGTTGACGCTCACGGACTCGGCGCAACGGTTCTGATCGGGCTTTTGGGCCTTGACTCTTGGGGCCTTTCGGGGAAGCCGAGGGATGCTGAGGGCATACACCTTGGGGTATGGGACTCTGAGGGGTCTGCCGCTTCAACGCTCCTGTCAATGTGACCTCAGTCGAGACCCGGCAGACATGCCACCCAAGGCACTTTCAGGAGCTTCTCTGGCACCTTGTCCTTGGGCAGCGCTTCGATGCTCCGCAGTGTGCCGGGCTGAAAAGTCACGGGTCCCCCGCCCGTTGTTATGAAAGCATCCAAGCCACCGGCGAGAGCTTCCAGGATGCAAGCGGATCTACGAGGAATGTACGAATTGCCTGAGAGCAGGGACTCGTGAGAGCAAGATAGATGTGCATAAACAGACATATGACATATACATATGTACATGTATGAAGTATACATGTATGAACGTAGAAATATTCTGTGCGCACTTCTTATACATACATACACACGTAATTACACACATATACGTTGTACATACGTACATACATACCTACATACCTACCTACGTACGTACATACGTGCGTACGTACATACGTGCATACGTGCATACACGTATGTTGCGTGCTCTGCTGGACAATTCCAAAAGGCCTCCACGGTGAGCCGCAAGGTGCAGGCTTGGTTTTCGTCCCTGGCTCTGGGCTGGGATCATCTTTTGCACTTTGCGAGGGTTCTGATGCTCTTCCAAGATTGTCTTGACGCTTGTTCATAATTCTCGGCCCTAGGTCCTGACATAGATTTAACGGGGCCCGGGGCTTCGCAGTGCTTCGCAGTGCTTCGCAGTGCTTCACAGTGCGTTGATTGCTTGTGGCACCTGGGCAGGGCGCGGTAGAAAGGCATCAGCATAGCGCCATTCTCGTCCGTGAGGGCATGGTGGAACCTCGACGTTGACATGCTTCGGGCTCATTCAAGGTGTCGCGCCGATACGAGCTCCTGGCACTCCCAGGAAGCGGACCAAAGGCAGCTTGGCAGGCCAGAGGTCGGGATCGAAGCGGATGTTGACCTCAGTTGATCCAGAGACTCAGAGATGCTCCACCGAGAGAATCCCCCCCCCCCCCCCAAAAAAAAACCTCAGACGCGTCGAGTCCTCAGACGCCAAGGCACCCTCCACGGGATGCCGTACGCCTCGTCCCCGTCTTCGCCCGCGATGCAGAGCCGCAGATCCTGCCGTGCTGCCCTGCTTAAGACTTGACATGTACACGTGTTACAATCAAGTTTGACATTCTTACGTGCAACCGTCCACATTCCACGTATCGACAGTATAGTCAGAACACGAGTGCAGATGCCAGGGCTTTTTTGGCCGAGGCCCTGACCCAGGGTCCGTGCCTTGGCTCACCACACAAATGGCAGGACTATCCTAATCTATCCTATACTCCAATGGACTCCAAGGTGCTCAGGGCTCTCTGGCTTCTTGAGCTCACCCTGGTCGTCGCAAACGAGGGACGGTGTCCTCAGGATCTCGGGGGCCTTCTGGCTTAACCTTTGAGCCACTGAAACTCGCTCCAGCAGGTTAGACTGTTAGACGCTACGGCCGCTTCGACGTCGGCTCACAAAGCTGGGGCGCTTGAGATCTCCAATGTTGCTTACCTGACGTTGGCATACCAACGGCCAGCACATTCAAGGCGGATTCAAGTCATGAGTCGCGGGCCCACGATCAGGCCGGACACTGAATCTTGTCGGGATGCATACGCCGGCGGGTTCGCTCGGAGCTCGGCCAGCTGCTTTTGTAAGTCCTGAAGCCAACTGCCCCACTTGAGGGTGACGAGTCTGGACCCCCCCCCCGTGTCTCTCCTGGAGGTCAAAGGCCTTTTCAGTTCTCTGCCTCTTTGCACTAGGCGACTCATCGGTCTCCTCCTCCTCGTAAAAAGCGGCGGAAGGGAGGACATGTGGACAAGTGGATGCGACAGCGTGATTTTCAGGATTTTGTGCTTTTGCACTTCTCTGGGCTCTCTGGGTCGGAAATGGTCGGAAGACAGAATAAGTCCTCAGAAGATGCAGACATAGTGCAGAAGGCCACTCTCTATACCGGGACCAGAGGGACACACTCTGCTCCTCTGCGGGACTCTCAGCCTTGGGCTCCGCGGTGCCATCAGCGGCCTCGGGGATTCGCACAAGAGACGCGGCTTGCAGAGCTAAGGGGCGGTGTGGCAGGGGTCCCCCTTCGGGTGACAGGCAAATCATCCGAAAACAAGACAGGGCAAATCAGAAAAAAACCAGGGCGCGAATCAGAAAACAAAGCCACCAACAGTGGGCACAATGCATCTGTGTACTGTGCTTTCTGCGTCGGTGCAGAGTTCCCTGGCGGGCCATCTCCGTAGTCTAGCCCTGAGCCTAAGCCCAAAAAGACCCTAATCCCCAAAAAACCCTAAACCCTAAACCCAGCCCCAAACCCAAAAAAAACCTAAACCCGAAAAAACCCTAAGCCCTAAAACCCTGAAAAACGTTACCCTAAAAACCCTTCAACACCCCTGAACCCTGAACCCTAAAGACCTGGCCCTAAAACCTAAACCCTGAAGAACCCTAAACCCTAAACCCTAGAAAACCCCTAAACCCTAAAAGCCCTAAGCCCTACACCCTAAGAACTCCTGAGCCCTAAACGCAAAAAAACCCAAACCCCAAGAACCCCCAACTTCAAACCCCGAAAACTCTAAACCCTAAAAACCCGTAAGCCCTAAACCCGAATCAAACCAAACCGTAAAAAACCCTAAGCCCAAAACCCTAAAAACCCCTAAACCTAGGCATGCTTTGTCAAAGCCATCATGCGAGCATTGTGTTTGCAAATGGGGTGGGGGGCTGCGCCCCCCCCCCCCCCCCCCCCCCCCCCCCGCTTTATTCTTTTTCGAACCCATCATGCGAGCGTTGTTTTTGCAAATGGGAGGGGGGGGCTAAAAATCCCTAAACCCTAAACCCCAAAAACCCCTAAACCCTAAAAACCCCTAAGCCCTAACAACCCCTAAACCCTAAAAACCCCGAAGCCCTAAACCCCAAAAGCCCCTAAACTCTAAACCCAAAACCCAAAAACCCCCTCAAGCCTTAGACACCCTGTTGCCTAAACCAAAAAAACCCTAAACCCTAAAAACCCCTAAACTCTAAACCCCAAACAAACCCTACAAAAACCCTAAACCCTAAAAAGCCCTAAACCCTAAACCGAAAAAACCCTAAACCCTAAAACCCCCTAAGCCCTCAACTCTAAACCACCCCAAAACCTACACCCAAAGAAGCCTAAACCCTAAACCCTGAAACCCCTAAACCCTAAAAACCCCTTATTTAAATAAAGCAAACCTTGCTGCTCGAGCGCAAGTGATAAAGTTGTTTGTTACCATAGCGGTCTGTATAGGGCTCTATCGACAGCTATCATAGGGGGGTACTTATCTTAACATGTCTTGGGGGAGATCCCTAAATCTAAACCCTAAAAGCACACCCTTAAACCCTCTCATGGGTTAGGTTAGGTTAGGTTAGGTTAGGGGCCTGGCCTCTTGCATTGCAGATTAGGTTAGGGTAGGTTCCGTTGGGTTAGGTAGGTTCGGTTAGCTTAGCTTGGGTTGGGGTTCGGCTCCTCTGTCCTTGCTCGCCCACTCCAGGCTATGGCGATGGCCCGCCAGTGGGAGAGATGTAAATGCATGGCTGTCCATGCATGCTGAGTCGCCCTACCATGGGTGGGTGATTCATTTTTCTTGTTTTCCGATTTGGGCAGCACCCGGCCCCCTTCTGTAGAAGGATCCAAGCAAAGAACGGTTGGTGGCATAATGAGCCTGCAAAGAAAGAGGCCCCTTTTAAGACGAAACCTCTGGCAACCGGTGCACAAGCACTGGGCCTCTGAACTGGGCTGGCTCTCATCCGCAGGCATGCTCGAAGGCCACAGGTGAAGCGCGCCCATATGCTCGAGTGGATTGCTCAAGCGCTCAAGCCGCTATCAACTCCCTGGAACTTGCGGGGGGAACCCAAGTTGGGTTGGGGGGCGGTGTGGCCCCAGTTCCGTCATTCGGTCTTGACTCGTGTCTCGTCATCTGTAAAAAGTTCTGTTCGGAGCAGACATGCAGCGGAGTCGCACTCGCAGAGCCACTTGCAGGCTCAATACACTGGCATCTAGACAAAGCATCAACGAGTATCTGCATCCAAGTGAGAACTTACACCTGTGCGAAGACATGGCCTCCACAAGGATCCCAACGAGCATGTTCAGCATCATGAAAGAGTTCAAAAGGATGTAGAAGATGAAAGCCTCGCAGGTACTTATACAACTCGTGATCAAAAGATCATCTTCTCGATGGGCTGAAGCCCTCGACATGATATTGACGTGCTGAGCTTCGCTGTTGGAATGGCGCTCTCCTTCAACAGCAGCACGCAGTCTCTTGCCAAGGCACCGCAAGCATCCAGTAGTTATTCTGCGCATGGATGATGTCCTCATGCGACGTGGTGATTTCCCAACGGGATCCGGAGTGCAATTCACACTTGTTCAAAACTTGGATTGGGGCGGGAGCTTGTTCTGTTCAGCAAAGTGGCCGCGCACTCAGTCACGTCATCAAGGATGGTACCCATGATGAGCAGGGTAAGCATTGACTTGTCCATCCCGCCGAAGTACTCGTGTATCTGAAATCCGCGGAAAGGACACTGCGGCAACAGCACGCGTACAGAGAGGGGGGCTGCTACCCGTGGTGCTACCCATGCGTGGGATCTGCGCACACGACAATCTCTGCCTTCCGCGGGTCGTCGTCAGCCCACTCCTTCATTTCATCATCCGTTATGAGACCTCGGACATCAGGTGCACCCAAGTTTCAAGCTCTAAGGACTGCATCCGCTCAGATTCTGCAAAGCCGCAAGAACTGCCTCTCACTCGAGAAACGATTTTCCGATGTCCCACTGTCCGGCAACCCCCCGAAAATGCAAGAGGTTGAACTGACGGACACTGCCTTGGTGGTACTCATTGGTGAAGAGGATGGACCATGTGAAACTGATTATGACCTCAGGGCAACTTGGGCCAGCGCACCACAGCATGGGCGAAGCATGCACTTAGTAGTGGAGCTGACCCGCTCACTCTCGACAGCGCTCTCGGACGCTGCTCGGATCCCGGCCAGGAGGACCGCTGTCCAACCAACAGCTCGAGCTGCAGCGGAGATGCCTGGCTTCAGTTTTTAGTGCCACTTGGATTCACTCTAAAGCCATCTCCTCTAGAAACTTCCCGGCCTTTGATGATCATCATCAGCTGTGGAAAGGCTCTCATGAGCTTTGCCATTCTGGTGATGCCTGAGAGCTGTCTTGTCTGCAGCTGCCTGCAGACTGGGCTCTGAGGCCTTTGGGTTCGAGATCTTGAGCATCAGACATTCAGGTCGTTTTCAGCTATTCGTTGAAGCATCCGGTAACTTCAACTTCGAGGCACAGTCCCCCCCCTCCCAAGCTGCAGGCGACCTCAATTGAACCCTGACTCAGTAAGTCTCGAACGAAGAAGCCGAAGAAGCCTGCGACAGCAGGGTGGTCATGGGGCATCACGGCATCAGCACAAGCTCAGCACAAGTAAGCACAAGGAAAGCACAAGGTACCAGTAGCTTGCCACACTACCGGCAGATTCACATTCAGCACAGAGACTCCCCTTCCAAAACCCCTGCAGACCTGACGACTGTGGGGTCTCCAACCCTGAAAACCGTTCCAGACCTTAAACTCAACCCAATTCCGCACACAAGTCGCTCTGAATCCTGGCTCCCCTCAAACCTCCTTCAACAATCAGCCCGGAAGCCATGAAAGGTTTGTTCAGCCGCGGCCTGAGAATGCTAAGCTGGCCCAAGCCCGAGTCGAGGCCCACAAATGGCATGATCCAGGTCTCCCAGACCTCGGGGAAGTTTGCTCGAAGAGGGTTTGGGGCACATAGGCCGAAAACAGCCTCAGGAAGGCTTGGAGAATGTCACTGGGCAGCAGGCCATCATCAAAACCAAGAGCGTGTCAAAAACGAACCAACCATCTCGAAGACAGAGGAGCTTTTGACGGTACCTGCCCAATGCAAGGAGTCTCCTGGCCAACTCCGGTCTGCCTGGGATGATACAGCGACTCAAAGCACTGCATTATGCACCGCATACAGGGCGGCTGCGCACGCCAGGAATCTGATGAGGATCTCGATGGTGAAGTAAGATGCAAAAAACACCTCAACCACGATGAAGAAGACCTGCGCCAGCAAATTTTGCAATTTCCATTGTTGTTGCTGCAATTTGTTGCTCCTATTCCATGCGCTCCTACTAGCACTCAGCTCTCCTTTCAGGCGTTGGCAGCGAAGATGCAGAATCCGTTTTGGACTGCAGGGGTGGTACAATTACGGGTAAAGCTCCCTCCCCTCCCCGCGCCGAACCGGCGGAAATTCGGAATCTGACCTCTGGCCACTACTCGCGCAACATGTCCAGTAAGCCAGTAAACTTAGTTTTAGAGACACAGCGCGAGCGAGAGATCATGAAAAAGGAAACTCCACCCACCCCCAATCCCCAAAGAAAGAAGGGGTCTTGTTGAGCAGGCGGGGGCAACATGAAAACGCCTCAAGAAAAGCCGGCTTGGGGTTTGGGGTTTGGGGTTTGGGGCTTAGGGGTTGACGGTTTAGGGTTTAAGGAATTTTCTGCTTGGGTTTTACGGGGTCGAGGTCAGGGTAGGTGCGAGGGGTGGCCGTGTTTGGAGTTTCGGGTTTCAGGGTTTAGGGCTTCAGCTTTTGGATGGTTTGGGGTTTCGGGTCTTAGGGTTTCGGCTAGGGGCCTCGGGCTGAGGGTGTAGGATTGAGGGCTTGGGGTTTAAAGTTTAGGCTTAAGGGTTGGGGTTTAGAGCTTAGACAGGCATGCCGGTTTAGGGTTAATGGCTTTAGAGCTTTGGGCTTAGGGCTGAGTGTACAGTTCCGGGTTTAGGGTTGGGTTTAGGGGTTTAGGGAGTTTAGGGTTTAGGGTTTGGGGCTAAGGGCTCAGGATGTAGGATCTAGAGTTGAGGGTTTCAGGCTTAGGGCTTACTGTTTAGGGTTTCGGGCACTAGGCGACCACGTGGGGCGGGGGGGGGGGGGGGGTCCCTCTACAGACGCTCGAACTTCGGGACATTCATTGAGGTAACTGCGTCTTCTGGACCTGTCTGCTTTTTCATCAGGGAGAAAGAGGGGTTCCTTTCAGAAACTGCTTGCGTATATACATGCATACTGTACATATAGATAGATAGATAGATAGATAGATAGATAGATAGATAGGTAGATAGATAGATAGTCTATGCATAAGGAAACTGCATGCGTGTGCGCGTGTATCACATTTGCGTTTGTTTGAAGTTTGTGCCTGCGTGTGCTGCGTGGGTGTGTGGGTGTGTGTACATCGCCCTAGTCCAGGGGCGCAGGGGCGACTCCCACTCACAGCAAGGCCGGGAGGGCAGGGGGGCCCTTGTCAACGAGGACAGCCTTTCCCCCTTGCAAACGTATCTGCAGTTGAAGTTGGTCGCTTCTGGGCAGTTGTGTGCAGCTGAGGGGCAAATCACCATTCTGTCGGGTCTGGTGCGGATGACTGCAGCCATTCTCACTTCAATCAATGTCCCTTCTCATCCTCACCCGCATTATCATCAGCAGCATCATCTCCCTCATCTTACAACAACACGTCTCGCCTTGCCAGATACCGCTCTTCAGCAATCGAAGTGCGTGCTCTTTAATACTCACCACAGCGAGAAGGGCGTGAAAACCAGAACCTTAAACTCCCAAGGCTAGAGTCCAACTTCCAAGCTTCGCGGCCTTTCAAGTCGTTGGAGGGGAACAAAGGAACACACACACACACACACACAGAAGCAAAGATGTTCGCAATTGGATACTTTCCCTATCTTCGGCGATGGTTTGGGGGAAGTTCAGCTCCGGTACTAGCGGTGGCATTGTGTGGTACTTCCTATGAGGTAAGGCTGCGAGGAATGTGTTCACTGCCCGCTTGCAGTGGGAGCGACTCCATTTTTTTGCCGGAAAAAGTAATTTTTCTGCACCTTGGCAACGCCCCTACAGAACAGTTCATTGCCACTTGTGTTGCTAATCCCCTATCGAATCTTCCTGCTACTACCTGTACACACATGTTGAAATCAAACAACAGTGTATGCGGCATCAACTGCCTCCCCGTCGTAGAGGTTGGCCGGTACTTCATTCCTGGCACGACGCATGTTTGTCCCGCTGTTGCCCACATATGGTTTTCAAAGGCAACCAAAGAAACCTGAGTGAGCAAAACAGAGTCTCTTGTACCTCGCCGAGTAGTCTGCATCCACACCAATCGCAAGAGCATTCAAGAAGATGACGCCTCGGCCCCAGCTGCGCCAAAGCCCATTGCAGCATTGAGGGCTTGGGGGGGGGAAGGGGGGGGAATTCGGGTTTTAGGATGCTTTAATAGGGTGTCGAAAGATTTTGAAGCAGCAGCTGGCTGTGGGCGCACTCAGACTGGCCAAGGCACAGATCGTGATGCCCTCGAAGTATTTGTTCTTGGCGATCTTGCCAAAGAAACTCAGTCGCCACAGCCGTGTTTCTCACAACATGTCCAGGAAGGTCTCGCCATGGGTTCATGGCGACAGCAAGCGACTCTGCAACCAAATTGCGTGAACTAATTTTTAGTTTTGCACACTCGAGACTCGAATTTGGGCAGGCAGGCAATGATTGGCTGCACAGCCTCTGTCAAAACCTGATCAGGTTCTAAGCCCTCTGAGGCCAAGGCTTGTCAGAGAACTTTTTCTGCAAGGCCACCGTAAGTGTGCCGGTCTGAGCTTGCTGGCTTTGGGCTTTCGGGACACAGTTTCGAAGACTCTTCGAAAAAACAACACTCACGAAGCACTCCCACTGAGCAAAAGCGCATGCATGTCTTCGTGGTGGTGTATCAGGTGCCCGTCCTCCGGCTTTCCACCTCTTGCCACCTCCTCCTTGAGGTTGTGGATGTCGCCAAACATTCGCCTAGGATCCCAACCAAGCCGTCGTTACTTGAAACTCTGCTTCCTTGGGCTCTGAACAGCTCTTGCCAGATACACGTGTATTGAGCCACTCTCTAGAGGACGCTAGAACCCGACTCGCATGCGCAAGCAGCCCACTGCATCCGACTGCATAAGAATGTATACCCAATCTCCCACTGCGAGCTGGAACATTCTGGAACATCCTGGAACCTCCTGGAACCTCCCTGAACCTCCTAACGTGCATTCGACGGCACCCAGCCGTGACTGGGGGGACACTGGGCATTGGCCCCGGCCCCGGCCCCGGCGGCCCCTTGGCCGAGCTCTTGGACCCCTTGGCACGGGCGTCGCCGGCTTCATAGAGCTGGCCTGCACACAACCTAACGTAAGCTACGAAGTGCTAGAAAATGCGTGAGAGGATGCTACACAACCCAAGGGGGTACTGGAAGCGGATTGCTCTGGTGGCTCTGGTCTCTCACTAACCGAGCCGAACCATCGACATTAGCACGCTGCAGGGCTAGGCTATGCGCCTAGTATGTGAGCATCGATGACCCCTAGCTGACTAGAACTTATCCGTTTAAGAATGCTGAAGCTGGCAGGGGCTGAAGCGTCTGAGCGGAAACAGTCTTTCACGGTGAGGCATTCACAGTGAAGACCCACTTGGCGCCTACATTCGGAGCTGCTCTACCTTGCAAGCAGATGCAAGCGGCCAGGAAAGAAAGAGAAACCACGTCGAAGCCTTGACTTACGTTACTGAAACGTGCAGAACTTTGAAGAACCAGTTGCGTTGCAGCTCCCTCTCCAGCGCCGTCTCGACCGCATCGACCTGGAAAGGTCCGATCAGACATGCTCAGATATTCTGGGCTGGGGGCTCTCCAGTCGCAAATTGCATGAGACTCTCATGAGAATCGCACCTGTGCAGGCATTTCGCCATTTACAGCCCCACGTCTGGATCCATGCTCGCCCGGTGTAGCGTATTGCACACTCGCTTGTTGCAATTCATGGTTGGGAGTTGGGCTGGGAGGGTGCTGAAACTAGGTTTTGCTCATCATTTTGTGGCTTTCATGACAGCCTACTCGAGCTGCACTGCAAGCCCTGGTGAACCGCCTGGATGCACCCGTTCATGTTTGGGAAAACATCAGATGTCAAGCTGGAGCCGGGCACGTCGGGCACATGACAAGTGGATCCATTCATGAGAATGGTTTGCAGAAGGGGCAACTGGCAATGACGAGGCACATCAGTGGCGGAAACCGTCAGCTGCAGGTCGATGGGCCAACCAAGCTGTGAAAATCAGACAGACTTGGGCACGTGGCAGCACGCAACGCACACCGCGCAAGCACCGAAAATCTGTGAAACGGATCTTGGAACTTTCTGGTAAGACAAGCACATCGTCTATAACGATCAATGTGCATCGTTAATGCACCCGACTACTGCTGAGTTCATACCGATGTAACCGCAGACTTTAGATCGAGGTGGCCAGCAGACGAAGTCACGACTTGCTGCTAATCGTCCTTGATCTGCGCACGGCCCATCAGTTTTCTAAATCTGGTAAGCGAGGCTGTCAGAAGCAGAATGGACACCTCAATGATTTTGTGCTTTTAAGGGCTTTTGCTTTATAAAAGAAAAAATCCAGCTCTTCAGAAGCCTGCTACACAAACACCTAAGTCCGAGATCTTCAGTGCACAGAAGGTGTGGTTGGAAGTGTTGAACCTTTGCAGCATGCGAAGCCGCGAAGCCTGGAAGCCTCCCAAAAAGCTTCCAGAACCCAGCTTTCAGAAGGCTCAAAAACTGAGAAGGCTCCCCACGTGTCCCATGCAGCAAGGCACCGGGACGGTAAGGATGGTCCCCACAGTGCCCGTCAACAGAAGGAGCCAAGCGCGATCAAGAAACCTGGGACATGAGAGCGCAGCAAAGCTTTGCAGCGATCAGCTTTAGGCCCAGAGGTGCACTAGCAAAGGAAGAGCAAGAGTTCCGAGTTCTTTTTTCAGTTGTACCCAAGCACCACAGCCGCTTCAGCAGCACGAGGCTGTAGAACAGAAGCGGCCTCAAGTTCTGCAGTCAAGCACTCACCCCGAAAGCTCCAGGTCCGCCTGAACATCTTTAGCCCCAGGTGGAAGCTAGACCAAGGCACCCCCGCACCACGGCGATGGCCGCGTCCACGGTGCCAATCAGCCTCCACAAGGGCCGGGCCGCAAAGGGCTCAAAGCACTTTAGGGGGGCCACCACGACTCACTCAATTTGTGTTGCTTTCCCTGTGCGCAAAGATGAAACTCGACAATGGCGACCGGCTCCCCACGAAACTCACCAAGCACGTATGAAGTAGGAGTCACCATCATCATCAGGCTACAAAGGTGCACGTCCCACTCGCTCTATGGTCCTCAACAACTTCTCAATCCCACTCCCAACCTTAAGGCAAGCGTTCCACCAGCAATTCTCACAAAAATCCTGTTGCCTACCCGAATCAAAACAGTGCAAAAAACTCTGTTCGCTACCGTGTCCGTGCAACTGCTGACATGCTCACAGTTGCTGTTGGTGTCTGAGAATGTTGTAGCGCCTTGTCGGCGTTGACTTGGGCTCTTGGCTTCGCAGGGTCTGTTCTGCGAGAACTAAAAGTTGAAGTAACACCATCTCGCATGCTGCCTAGCGTAGCCTGGTGGAGCCCGGTGCAGCCCAGCAGCCAGAGTACCGGCAAGTGTGGAAGGTAGGAGTCGTCGAGTGCCCATGCGACTGGGCTGAGGAAGTTCGCTGCAAAGCCCGAGAGGTGCATCGCGAAGACCATCCTCTGCATCTGTACAAGATGCCCTCTGCATGTGCTCTGCATATCCTCTGCTCTCGGAATGTCACGGCACACTCTGAATGCAGCCAAGCAGCAGGACGTAAGCGTACTCAGTGGAGTAATGCAGGTTCATCGGCACGCAGTTCAAAATGCTGATTGCGTGCAGCCCAACCTCACATCTTGAAAAGGTTGTTTTAAGTCTCTCAACCGAGTTCGCATGCCAGACATCTTGCTGCTGGGCCGCCAGAAAAGCTACCAGAGAAAGGGGCATATGCTTTGGCCCATCCTGGAGCAATGACGCTACACAACTGCACGCCTTCCCGAGCCGTTCGCATGCGCCACGTTGCCTCCGCTTGCTTTGTTGAGTGCCCTGCTGAGGTCGGGCTTGTGACTTCATCTCATCTGCAGCAAAAGGGCCTCTGCCATGTGCTGGCGTACGGCAGCGACAACCTGCACATGAAACATCTCGTCGAATCTGTCTGTCCAAAGCGGGTTTGCCGCGAACCCTTGCGAAGTTTCACCCTGACTTTCGACCCTCCCCACACGCTGCCCTCGCTAACGCTCTGTGCTCTTTCGCTCTCTCCTGCGCCAGGCCGAGAGCCGCAGCAAGCAACGCCGCATGCCGTATCAGCGCAGCGGACCAGTCCTCACGCAAACACACGGAGCTTCGAACGCGAGGCCTCCGGCACACTCTGGCAACTCTGGCAACTCTGGCACAGCGTCTATAGCGGACACAGGTGGACAAGTGCAGTGATCGGGTTTGTCTGCAAGTCGCAAGGCCACTTCACTTGCCATGGCCCCTCTCCGTGAGAGCACAACTTGTCATTTTATGTCTTCCGACATCACCTGATCCATCACTCACAATCCCGCCCAGGCGCATTGCTGACATTTCGGGTAACCTCGGGGAGGCAAAGAAGTGCACCAAGAAAGTGCCTCAGGTGCCCCACCCTTGCAAGCATGGAGCACCTTCTGGTCCCCATGATACATGCAATGAAAAACAATCTCCGCCATGGGGCTGCGCTCCAACAACCAGACTCGTGCCACCCAACTCGTAGGCACCAGCAGAAGATAGATTTTCAAGGCGCATACCTCACAGGGGCCCCCCGCGGGAAGGGCGGGTCACACCCAGCTGAAGCTGCCTCTTCAAGGCCACACCAATGGCTAGGTTGGCCCTGTCGTGAACCCCAACAGTAAACCCCTCTTGAAGAATTTTCCTTTCTCGGAGGGTCCTCATAAACCCAATACTGGAATAATACAATCTAGACGCCAAGGACCAAGTGCAGAGTATCAAAGCTCACAAGTTCTCCAGGAGAGCTAAGCCCAGCCAGGCCTGGCGGTGAGTCCCGACGGATGCCCTCCAAGAAGAAGCTGCTGCCTTCCTCCCCAACAAAAACAAACTCAAACAACAAAACATGGAACATCAGGACTAGAGCTACTAGACATTGCCTCCAAGTTCTGCCTTCGTGGCATTGGCTATCCCTTGACAAGGCGATGATCTTCTCTTGTGCAGTCGGTGGAAGCTTCCAGGACTGTTGAAGTGTGCACCCTCTTTGGGTATACGGTATAAGCTTCCATTGTGCTTTGACGTGAGGTTGGGGCCTGGCTTGCACACCAACTCGTCATCCGACTTCCCGGGCCAAAACAAGAAGTCACGCCGGTGACCCGGGGACCCCATGGCCCCAGCCCTCCTGGCTCGGAGAAGAGCTGCTTGCGGCCAGTCAGCAAAGGATGGCGACGCCGGGGGTCCACCACTAGAACCCCCCCCCCCCCCCGATCTCGGCAAAGTGGCAGCCCGGAGCCCAGCGGGTCCCCAGACAGACTGGCTACAGTTGCGGGTCAAGGTCCATGCGCAATGCCAGAATACACGACAGTGTACATGTGCCAAGACCCATGGCATGTGCCTTGAGGCTGGTCGCGACGGCCTTCCTCGCAAGTAGCGTGGCATTGGCCAGCAGCCTCTTTGGGCATCTTGGAGCCTTCTGTGAAGCCCTTCTTTGGGTTAAGGGTGTAGGGTTTAGGGTGTGGGCGCCATGTGCCCTATTCGTGGGTGCTGGGTGGCTTGAAACGATTGAACTGTGAATTCCACCGCTTTCTGCACCACATTGCACCACGCAACGTCAGCAGAAGCAGCTCGGCCAGCTCGCCAAGCAGCTGGGGCGCCATCGGCTCTCTGAATCCTGGGACGCCTGTGGGATGTGATGTGCTGTTGCGGCAAAACGCCGGGATTGGTATTCTATGCGTCCTTCGTGTGGGGTCCGGTCTCTTGGCCTTCATACGCCAAATCTATGGTAGATTGCTATACCCCCACTTGTCCAGTAAAGGCATGACTTCATCAGTGATGTCATGCTTGTGGTCGGCTGCGGCAAACGGCAAACAGGCCTGCCTCTTAAGGAAGGGGGGCAAGGAAGTCTAGTGAACTTCAACTCGGCACATCGTGTCACCCCCGGCCTCCAGCACCCCTCCCCCATTTTCGTCGTCAGCGGTTGACTCTTTGCAACACATTGGAGACGAGTCTAGAGACACTCTGCGCTACGAGCATGCTTGGTGTCGGTGTGCTTTTGCACATCACGCATGGTGCCATGCAGCTTACATTGAATTACCCCTCGCAGATCACCGAAGGAAGGGCGTGGCTAGGGATGCATTCGCCAGGATGTGGTTCTAAGTTCAGTGGCTCAAGGGGGGCCCAGGGGCGCCAGAGGCCTATGCAGCAGAGGCTCAGACCTGCAAGTCCTCTGATGGTCGGGGCAACTCAGAAAGCTTCTCTCCTCGGCCTCACCAGACTTCCACTGAGGGATGCTGCACTGCGCAGTCAACGGCACTTGAGCAGCCTCCGAAAACCTCCACCCGATGAATATGGAGACTCTGCAGAGTCTTAAACTCCGAACATCATCTACGTAGGCACACAGGCTGTCACTGCCTTCGACAGAAGCATCAGAAGCACTTCAAGGAGATGATGGGCGATGCCTGTGAAGCGTTCTTCAAGAAATCCGTCACATGAGTCATGAGCAATGACATGTCAAGTGGCCGCCAGGGAAGGGGGCGCCGTGTGCCTGCTGCTCGCGCCAGCCAGCCACATGCCGCTGGCAGAACCTGCCGAGGTCCAGATGCCAAAGACGGCATAAGGGGTTGGTCTGAATTACCCTGAAAATTACAAGTTACTATGAGAAATAAGCCACGGTCAAAAAACGCCCCAGAACGGCCCCCATCATCTTCCCACCAGGGCTCGGCTCATGGTCGAACTGCCAGAGCAACAGAGCAAAGTTCAGAGCAAAGCATGTCGGCGCTTCGACTGCATAGGTTTAACGACGTCCTCACCTCAGTGAGCCCGTGAAGAGTTTGTGCCGTCGTTCGACACTGAAATCAGTACTGTTCACTTCTCGGCTTGAAATGGTTGATAAAGTCTTGCAGCCCGCAGAAAAGGCCATGTTGTCAGGCACATGGTCTCTTGGTTGCGGTCCAAAACCGAGCGCGCTGCGTAGGCTCCAGTGGTTGTGGGAGGCGTTGGGCGGGAAAACGCCCTGCGGAGGACTGCAGACGCTCAGGCAGGCACTCCTGCGTGCTTCTGAAGCCATACTGGCTTGTGCAAAGTACCCACCGGAACTGAAACCATGGCCGAGACGGACCTGTTCAGATGTGGTTAGATGTTACCTCTGCTGGAAGGGAACCTCCAAATTATTTCGAACCCGTTTTTCACAACGCACTACCTATTCCTTTTGGCAGCAAGATTTTGGAAAGCGCTGTGCCCACCTCCACTTGGGGATGCCCAGTCTCCACAGCCTCTGACAGATGAGATGGGTCTGAGAGACATCTGAGGAAACTGACAGAGGAGTGCACACAGCAGACTGGTACGGACTCTGCCCGCAGACTCTCGTTCGCCAACAAAGCCCCGCAAAAGCTTCCCACGAAAACAAATAGCAACACCAATGAAAAGGCCCTCATTCAACAAGTCTCTGGAGGGATGGATCCCTACATTGGCACCAGGCAGCCTTCTGCAGAAGGGCCCTTCCGTGGTAAGGCTTGATGACCTGGACATACTTGGGAGCGGCCTTTTGTTGCAAAAGCTCATTCGGCCGTTGGCGATGACATGCGGTGACACAAGGGACCGCCGTGGCGGACGAAGGTGCATCCCTCATAATGCCCTGGGGGTCAAAGCCTTGTCCAGCTCGCCGTGGAGTATCAGAATTGGCACCTTTATGAGGAGGTTGCGCACTTGCAACTTGCAACTGCGCGATTGATGCCGCTTGAGTTACTAGCAGCTCGGCGGTGAGAAAACCGTTCGCTATGCAAAGCATGCGCAAAATAGCGACAGTTCATCTGTTGGTGCTGCCAATTGATCAAACATCGAATTCCGAGCATAGCCCGAAAGCCCCAAAAAAAAGTAAGTCAGAGCGCAATGTCACCACAGAGTTATGGCGATTACATGACAAGGTGACCTTTGCTGCTCCATTCCAAGAAAAAAAGGCTGAGACTCGCGCCCACATGTTCAAGGACTCATGGCCTTGGCTTCCACAAGGCCTCCAACAAAGAGCTCCCAAAGTGACGAGGAGCCATTGTGCTCTGAGTCGGATGCACAGCTCTTGTAGAGCGTCCAGATTGTTGTAGCAGTCTGACGGGATCAGGTAGCTACCTGGCAAGGCTCAGCATGCGCCCTCCAACTTCAGAAGCAGATCTTCTGGCCTGGTAGGCCGACGTAATCTGCTGCGACCTGTCGGATGCTGATGAAGGGACACCTTGGTTGGAGCCATCGCAACGGCATTCAATGCAGCAACGCACTGTCGTGCAAAGCGATGCCCAATCCACTGACTCAAAAGGAAAGACGGCTGAGAGAGGGAGAGAGCGAGAGAGAGAAATGGGCTTCCAACTAGACCTCTGGGGCACCAGTGTCAACAACTTCGTGTAAGCGCTTGCTCAAGCTCAAACTGCACCTTCAGCTAAGAGGCTGCAGCACGACGCCCCCAATGTGCCAGCGCATCCTCGGTTTTAAAGCTGACCGTTCTCTCTGCAGCGTTCCTGCAGCCCGGAAAACCCTACTTCTGCACACCCCGTCTGCCTGGTCTAAGATCTTAAACCCCGTCCCCCAACATGAGTCCTAAAACCATAAACCATCAACCACACGGCTGAGAGTTGCACCGACCCTAGGCCGACCCTAAACCCACTCTACTAAACTCCCTAAAACCTAAGCCGTTAATCACCTTAAACCCCTAAACCCTAAAGCAATTCTGGCACGCTCTTGAACCTCAAAGCTTGCCCCGACGCGTGGTGCCAAGACCGTGTAGTGAAGCTTCACGAAACATTTCTGTGCTGCCAGCGCTGCCACTGCTGGCTAGGCTCACAAAACTGCCTACCAAACTGCAAAAATGGGACATCCCAGAGAGACCTGAAAGAAAACCACAAAACTGCCTGGGACATCCCAGAGACAGCCGAAAAGAAGCTACTGCCCCTGGTTAAGCACAGAAGCCAGCTGGGAGGGTGGGAGGGCGCCCATGCCAGTGAACCATACACTGTACTAACATCTTTGGCTTGCAGCAGTGCCTCGAGCAACAATAGTAAGCACGCAAGGAAGCTCACGAAGGAAGCTCACAGTCCTCGCCACTTGGCGTGCGCCCGTCCCGACCGTGGTGCCGTGAGTTAAGTATAGCCACCCTACTTGTATCCTAAACCTCCCAGCTATCACTACACAAAGCTCCCTTGCACCCTAGACCCTCAGCATCCCTCAGCCCTCAAGTCTCAACCCTGTGAACCCGAACTTTCAACTTGGCCCGTTACAGACTCGAAGCACCCCGAACCGCCTGAGGCCCCTGGCAGGTCGCGAGCGCGCTTGGCCAGTCGCAGGACCGGTCTGGGCGTTATGGAAAGTCTTTTGAGGTTCAGGGTTCTGGGGGCTTCCGGGACTTCAGGATTTAGAGGTCTAGGGCCCATAAGGCTTACCATAAGTTTTTATCAGGGCCTTCGGGCCTTGGGCTTCTCACGGCTCGAAGGATTTGGGGCGTTCAGGGTTTTAGGATGTTTCAGGGCTTAGGGCTCTCGCTTTGGAACCGTAAGTTGCGTCAGGCGCCCCCGATACATTTCGGGGGGCACCCGAAGACCAGAATTTGGAGTCGAACCCCCCAAGAACCCATGGGCCCGAGCCCGCTTCCGAGAGATCTTCCGTGAAGCAGAACCTGCACAGGGCAGAGGCATCTCAAAATCCTCCACAAAAAAAAGAGAGAGAGAGAGAAAGAGAGCTTTACAAGGCTCTTCGAGGACGTTTCAGGCAGAAGGCTTTGTTTCCAAGGCTTGAAACTGGAAAGTTCAAGGCCTTCTCAGGCGGGATGCCACGTACAGAGACGCAGTAGACCCTGCAAGGCTGGTAAATTGGCGGGTGTAGCAACCACACTTAGCTGTTGCGAACCTGCGATGCAGCAAATTGAGTGTTAGTAAGATCCTTCCCAAAAGGAGAGGCCAAGTGCCCTGCAGGGCATGCAGCGCAACATCTTCCACGCCCGCGAAGCTGATCTGCCCGGAAACGAAGATACAAGCCGATTGAAAGCACGCCGCAACAGGCAGCCTCCTCGCATCCTTTGCTGCGGGTGCAGAGTCCGTAGCCAGGGTACTCCACGGCCAGGAAGTTGCACTGGAATCCAAGATCAAAACACAGACAGACACGCACAGAGAGAGAGAGAGAGAGACACACACACACACACACACACTTTTGCACTTGACCCCGTATATAGTCACAGGGGACTCTCGGTCAATCTCATCGCACTCCATCGACCAGGTGGAGATTCAAACTGATTTGGTCTTCAAAAAGCTGTCTTGCATCCAAGGAGGGAACCAAGCAGCAAACAAGCAAGCAAACAAACAAACAAAGTTTGGGATTTAAGGGTACATGATGTCACAATAACTGTATGCAGGTACGTTTTCACAGAGAATACGTGGTGTGCTCGTTGGGCACCGACCTGCTCGTACAAAGGTTGTGATGAATGCTGCAGCTCCAAGGCACAAGAACTGAAATGCAGAGGTTGGGATCTTGGGAAGGAAAAGAACAGAAAAAGATCCGCTTGTTAGTCGGGTGTGTCACACACACACACCCATCCACCCACTCTCCTACCCCTCGCACGCACGCACGCGCACACGTGCCACCACGTGGTAACTGGAAGCTGGAAAGGCTCACTTGGCTACGGCCAGAGGTCCTTGAGCCTTGAGCCGCCTCGACTTGTCCCGGCCTTGAGCGCTTTCGCCATTTGGACCAGATCCGGCTCGATCAGGATCAGATCCTCTCAGGCTTGCAAGGTGCATTTTGCCTTGGTACCTGCCATCCTGCACCTGACAATTCTGAGATGACTTGGCAATTAGGCTGGCATGCAGTTTCTGCAGCAAGGAACACAGCGAAGCATCATTTTTGCAGAGAGAAGCGACTGTTGCACCACCGGGTCACCGCCGTAGAGGGTGCAAGGTAGTCACGGCTTAGCTTGGCATCATGACATCGGCCAAGGCCCCGGAGGCACTGAGGATTTTCTTGCTTACCGGAATTTTGGTGTTGCTGGCAGCTTCTTCATACTTGCTGCCGATCACGTCAAAGTAGAAGTCTCCCGCATTCTTAATCGTGGACAAGACAATTGCCATCAGGAAAGCAAAGTGCGCGATTTGCGAATGCCACAACACCACAGCCACCAGCATGGTCGCCGTGGAGAAGGCCAGGTGGATGAGAAGATAAACAAGCTGAACAAGCAACTTGGGCCACTTCTGCAGTAGGCTCTGCAAAACAGGTCCCACAGGTTTCATGACAAGAATTCGATCCCACAGCGTTTGGTAAGAGTGTCGCTCGATGTAGGAGCCAAGAGCTATGAAGATCCAAATGTAATACAAAACCAGCCACCACAAGTAGAACCCGATCAACGTATCCCAGATCAGTTGCAAGGCCGAAATATCGCTACAGCTGTCGCTGCTCGGACAGACTTGAAAGTGGCGGGCTCCAAGCCCATGCTCGGAGACCGGAGCAGCATACCAGCGAAGTCCATAAGAAAGGAGGAGGGGCGAGACGTGCACCACCACAGACGTCATATGGGCGTAGGAGTGGAACACCATGGCGTGGTTGAACGCCAACACGCTCCAGGCCAGCGGCCCATTGGCACACATAAACACCACGCGGAAAACACGAGGCGACTTCGGCATCACCCAGCAGTAAAAGATGCAGAGGAAGTTTGCCCAGTAGCAGAAGTCCCAGAGGAGAAAATGCTGCTTCTTGCGATAGAACTTGACCAGCCGTAGGACGATGAGAGACAGCACTTTCGGAGTGAAGAAGAGAAAGTACAGCACCGGAAAGGCTCCAACGATGTATGCGCTGAGCACCATGTTAGCCACACCGATCATGAACCATTGCTTGTCCACTTCGATGACCTTCTTGGCCAAAGCCTGCTGTCGATCTCCTCGCTCCTGCAAGTCATTTAGCTGGGCGAAAGCGGCCACCAGCTTTGACTGCCTGCTCACGGCCAATCCAACGGCCAAAGCAGGTAACAGGAGAAGCCCAAGCCTGAGGGCATCGCCGGCGACACCATGCTCATGATGCTCATGTGGCATGTTCGTGGCTTGGAGCTTACGATTGAGCCACCCTATGGCAACATGCACCGAGCCTCTATGAGATTATCCATGAGACTATGATCACGCACTAGCTGCTGGACACGTCCAGGTGTCCTCGGCATTGCCATGGAAGAAGATCAAAGTCCTGAGTGCTGACAAAGCTGAAGGATGCCGAAGGCCGAAAGCTCCACAAAGAGCAGATGACACCCCTTTTTTCACAACTTGAGATCTCCTCTGCGTTTTGGCATCCCGCGGCGCCGGCAACCAAAGGAACGGTCTTCGGACCTGTGCGAGACAAGGGGCAGGGGGGGGGGTATGAGGAACCCCTGCTGCCAGCCAGCGCATGCCACTCGCCGTTGAAGGCGCGGCGGGCTCGCTGAGGTTGCCGCCCCTCCCCCTGGAAATTTAGCCGGTTGCTCGTCCCAAACGAGGTAGTCGGATTCCTGTCACTCTTTCAGAGCTTAGATTATCCAACTGGCATCTCTAAGCTTGCCCAGTTCAAACAGCCACGGCATAACGTCTATGGCCTCCTTACGCATTGGAAGGCGGCTGCAAAGATCCACTCTAGTGTCAACAACACGGTTCCACATTCGATTGAACTTTAGGCACGTCAAGTGAGCACGCTACATCCTGGTCCTACACCATCCAGGATATCCTCCACAAATCGTCGGCTCATGAGACAAGCATCTGTTAGCCTGCTTCGTCTCCGCGTCTGTTATGTCAGGCGGCAGGAAGACCTTGCCAACACATCTTAACGAGCTGTAGGTGGTGCTGCCATCTCCGTGCTGGGGTTCCTGCAAAGGATGCAGCCAGAGAAAGTCCCATGAGCGTCCTGGAAGTGCGAAGGCTCACGTTAGTTGCGCGGAAGGCTCGTGTGAGGCAAGGCTCGGCACCTCGATGTGCCCGGCTACATGCAGAATCTCAGAGCGATCAAGACTCAGTGGCTGGCCAAACGTGGATGCACGGACAAGCCGCAGCCAGACCCCTCTGCGTCTATTGCATCGCTACACGTTTAAGGAACAAGGTATGCGGCCAACATCCCTGGGCGACGTAAGGCTTCACTCTGCGCTATGGCTTTTGGACAGAGATGGAATGCTACTGTGCCTATACTTCCTGATACTTCCTGTCTGTACTGGTTTGTGAATGCGAGCCTGTTGCTGCGTGCACCATGGGCTCCCGGAACCCTCTTCTGATCACACCAAGCACATTGCCTTCGAGAGTGCCTTTGAGAGCACTTTGACGCACCTCCTCACCGGTCACACTTGCACTGAAACTGACTGAAAACCAGGGCTTGCAGGGAATCCTTGGAGAGCATCTGAGGAGCTACTGAGGCTACTGGCTAGGGTATCGGGGCTCCTTGGGCTCTTTTTGCTCCGTGATTCCCTACTCTGCGCCAGAGAACAGACGAAGGATTCAACTGCATGATGTTCCGGAGGGAAGGCACTACACCCTTTGAAAAGCCACTTGAAGCAAATCTACACGACTCGTAAGCCTGCTGCATTCACAGTGGAGTTGTGCTGCGCTAAAAAGAAGCTGAGAAGCAAATCGCTGCCAGCGCTCACTACCAGCTTCACCTGGGACAGTCAGCAGTTCATTGCGCAGAAGCCAACTTTGTGGTACTTTCAGGAGTCCGGGTGCACACGATGCTGGGATCCTGCACTACTCTACGGACATTGCAAAGGAAACTTCGGTGCGGCCCTTAATGGTGCAATTCCAACAGCAAGCCGATGGCTACTGGAGCCATCGGGGAGACCCTTTTTCAGCTTGTAAGGCTCCCGCTCCAAAACGTCCCCCAGCGCGGAAAGGAGATTTCGCAGATGTCGGCGCTTCTCCTGTTGGCTGCTCAAAACACCGGGGAATCACCGAAAGGGCAAGGATTGGAGTGCGTGAGCGGGCATGAATACAAACCTTGTCCATGAACACTCCCTGGGCCTTGAGAGCCAAGCCTTATTGTCCATTGTCCACACTAGGGCCCATTGTACTGTTCATGAGAAGGCAAAGAGCGGACATGGAAAACATGTGCTTTAATGTTCGTCTTGCATCCATGTCAGAGAAGACACTGAACCGCAAACGGGCTGCAAGGCAAAGTGATGTCTTGCACAGCCCAGCCCCATTCAACCCGAAGCACTTGTGTTGTACCATTATAACGATACAATCCAAAGCATGTCATTGACCAACTATTTTCACTGGAGCTCTGTGGACAGAAGCTGAACAGCTGTGGACGTTCGTTACAACTTCATGGAATCTCGTCCTTGCTCTCGTCGAGGTCTCGCCACTCGCTTTCACGAACTGTGACCTGGGGGCAGTTGCGCAGCATCCCGCGTGGTCAAAGTCGATCCGCCATGCACATGAACTACTTCATGCGAATCATCGGGCTGAAACCCCAAGCCACCACGCCGAGCAAAGGCCACAGTGGTGCTCAGGGCCGGGCGAGCCTGAGACCTTGTTTTTGAAGAATGCGCCGCCTGCGCCGAGTTCACTCGCTGATGCATCAGTTCTGTAGAGCAGGAGACCCCCAAGACGTTGACACACAAGCCTATGACTTACATTGGCTCGCTCTTTTGACTCACGATAATCCTGCCTGAGCGCGACCGCACCCTCGATGACGATCCCAGCGGTGGCTGGGTCATCCTTGGCCATTCTCCGCGGTCGCACGGGAGATGCGGGAGATGCACAAAAAGAGAGCACGGCAGGGCCACGCAGATGGCAGGGCTTCTCCAAGCTGCCGACATGGTCCAGAGACCGCACGAAGGTCACGTTGGAGTCTAAGTCAACATGGACAAAGCCGTCGGTTGAACTCCGCCTTCATCAGCAAAGTGATCACGCAAAGCTGAACGGGAAGTTGCATGAAGGCACAGCAGAGATTCACAGCAGCGCTTTCCACTAACCCTTGGCGAACCATAGAAAAAAAAAACACTGACAAGCATTGATTAGGCAAAGGGCTTCCGCAGCGCTGCCACATCGACTAGCAGCCCACCTTGCTGGGAGGGTGGGAGAGGGCGGCCAGTAGCCACGCAGGATCGAAACCGCGTCTGATCGCTCAACCCCTCCCTGAGGCTCCAGGTCTTACTAAAATGAAGAACGAGACTCTTTCAAACCTTCGCCGAGCCACAGCTTGTCCTGTGGTTCACGTGCACGGAACCCTCGACCTCGGTCAGCGCCCCTTGCCCCCCCGCCCCCTGTGGTTCCCGAAGACGTTTCCGAGTAGCTTCTCTCGGGCTCGATGAGTGTTGGGTACACAGAGACGCAAAGACATGTTGAGATCCTGCACTAATGCGCAGCCGTTCCAAGTCAGAAGCCAAGGATTTCAGCACGGAGGCCACGTCGCTGCGGTGCTTGTCCGAACACCGCCTCTGCTGAACCCCAGGCTAGATGCCGGAGATTGGTGAGCACGCCTAGTACTGGCACCGGGTAGGTCAGGAAGGCCAGGAGAATTGCAAGAGGAATGGCAAGATTCCAAACTGGCCCGAGCAGTACTCAGTATGACCCACATGGAGCGTGGTGGAAGCTGAGTAGGATTGCCAGACATTGGGAGCGCGCAATACAACTGTGGGAGCCTCTCATCTTTCCTGGCTTCCCTGTAGTGGTCCTGGGGATTCGCAACTTTTTGAGCGCTCTAGCCTAGCCGAGCCGATGGTATGATCCCACAATTCCCCTTGCTTGACCAGTCCCGTCCTGAAGGGCTTCCACTGTTTCCTGATCCATTCTGTCTCTGAACCTGACAGCGAGAGAGCGTCATTGTCTCCAAATGATCTGAAGGCGGCGCGAAAAAAAAAAACGAGCCGCGAGAAAGTGAGGAAGAAAGTGGGGCCTTCGATACTGGCTCTTCTGCTCGGTCTCGAGGGCCAGATGGCACTCGAAGAGCTGGCACAGAGCGAAAGGCAAAAAAACTTTGCTTTTCTAGCGCCCTGCGAGCCTCTGAGCCTCTGCGCAAAGACGAAAAGAGAGTGCAGCAATATCAGCAAATATCAGCAAATATCGGCCTGAGTAAGCGCATCTGAAGGCACCACGGGCACCTTTCTCAGCGCCTCCCGGGGATGGCTTCACAGTTCACCATGGAAGTTCATTTGAAGAGTCTTGCGACTCGTGTCGTCTGCAAGGCACTCAAGAGATGCGTTTGGCGCGCTTCCTTGCAGACCCAGCCTTCAGCAAAATCTCAAAGATGTCCTCACAACACACTCCCCCACAGCTCTCTTGGAGTCGGCTCTGTCGGGGCCCTTTTCATCCCCTTTTTACCCAGGCAGCCATACATCCCCTCCCGCTTCAAAACTCAGAACCTGCCCCCGAAACATCCGATGCGATGGCTCTGACTTGGAGCAGATCTGCAGCTGCGCGGCTGGATTGAAATGCTCCAATACGCACAGCGCCCAGGTGATCTCGCACAGATCCTTCGGCTATTGCAACATGTATGGGCGTTGCCATATTCGACGGGTCATCCCTTCATCAGGCCCACACCACAAAGCCTAACAGGAAGCCTTGTGACAAGACAAGGAGTATCCAGGTCAGGCTCATTCGAAACATGTCGCCCCCTTCACGCCTGGAATCGCCCCCTTCAAAGTTCTGTGGCTTCGATTCAAATGACGAGAGCAAGGGGGGCGAACAGGAAGCGAACCTGGTTCCTTATGTTGTTCCTTGCTCTTCATACGACACAAAACTACTCCTGGACTACATTCGTAAGCAGATGAGTGAAGTAAAGATATGAGGGAGTAAGGCACCAATGACTCACCCATGTGCCTGCCATCCCAAAAGAGATCCAGAGAGCCTCTTTCAAACCTCAAACCTCGACTCGAACTTGCACCATAACCATCGCCTCGGCGCGGAAGCTGACGCCTCCTTTCACTCGGCTGACAACCTCCAACGTTCGCAACACTTGACTAAAGCAAGCGCAAGCCAAAGCGCAGGGCAAACTGATGGCCTCGTCTCCCACCGCTCTGCACAGACCCTGGTGCTGGACCTTGGACGGCACAACTTAGCGCAGCTTGGCCGCCTTGTCGCACATCTGTGAGATGTGCATCAACTGGAAGGCAGCACACAGCCCTCTTGGAGGAAGACGTTGCATTTCGCAAACGACCGCAACACGCGGATAATGTCAACTGGCCGCAACTCCTGCACCAAAAACAAAGATCGGTGTTCTGCCAGATTTGCCAGCTCCAACAGTCACTGACCCACGACGTGACGATGCAAGGGCAAGGACAAGGCAAGCCTTTGTCCGTGAAGAGAGGAATGTTGCAGCTGCATTGAAGAGGTCTGTGTGCACCTTTCGCCAAGGAATCCGTGGATCCGCAGGCACAGTGCTTCGAGAAATGCGAGTCTAGCTTTGGAGGACCAGACAGGAACTGAAGCCACTGAAGCCCAGGCCAGCCGCATCTCGGACAGGATAGCAAGCAAGGCGGTTAGCTGAACCTGGGAATTGCACGCTCACGCCATCTTGATCGTATCTGCAGCTCTGATGGCAGCTCTTGGGGAACGCAGGGAAATTAGAGAAACGAGGTGAAACCGCTGGATCTCTCCCAACACCGGCACCTACATGAAAGCCAACTCGCGGCACTTTTCCCCCGGAAAACAACGGAAAATCGAACACCCAGAACACGCACACACACAATTCAGGCACTACCCGGAGGCCCCAGAGCCCTTGGGCCCAGCACCGGTGCGAAGCTGCTGTGCCGAGCCAAAGCCGCGCGGCCTCTCAGCGATGGCTCTGCATCTGGAATCCCCGCTGCGGCGCAACCCACATCAAAAAAGGAAAGGACCCGGCCGACTGATGCAAAGAACTTGTGCTCCGAGAAACCTACGGACCTGCGCAGGAAGGTGATGCGGAGCATGCGGGATCTCCATCGCGCTGCAAAAAGCATCTGACTGCTGCAGCTGTGGACAAAGATTATTGGAAAACTCCCACAATACGCACGCGCCATCCTCTCTTGTAAAGGCTCCAAAAAGAGTGCCGGAGTCACACAAAAGCCGCGAGGCAGCTGTTGAGCTCGTGTGGCCTCCGCAAGTTTGTTTCAGAGCTGGAAGGTGCAGGCAACTAATGGCAAAGCTGATCCCCTTGTGCTCTTCCGTTGTCTAAGGTCACGGCGCAAATGTCATGAGACGTGAGGACATCTCGTTTGCCGCTGCTGTGAAAAAGACCTCCACTGCGCCAAAACGAGCACCAGGGTCTCAAAGGCGCTCTTGAGCCTCTTGAGCATACATGTCGTGGGCCTTGGAGAGCTGAGCGAAGAGTGGCGCCCGTCTTCTCTTGGGGTCTGCTGACCTGACTCCATTTTTCGTGAAAAGCTTTCGAGCGCCCAGGATCTACCACAACATGCCACGACATACCATAACATACCACAACATACCACGACATACCACGACACACCGCACGCGCTCTGAGGAGCCCGCCATGCAGCGACAGTGCTGCAGGCTGTAGTGAACTGGCCGAAACGCAACTTGCTTCTTTGACTGAAGCGATGTCCCAGCAGAAGGGCCGCCGACAACGCTTGACCCGTCTTTCCTACAGTCGGCCCACCATCCCATTGCTCTCACGATCACAGGCCTGCATGCTCGTCAGCTCGCGCAGGCGCGAGCCAAGCAAGCGGCAGAGTTCAGCCAAGAAGTCACCGCCCTGGTGGTCGCGAAGCCTGCAATCATTTTGTGTCAGCCCAAGCAAAGGAAAAAAACTAGAATCACACTGGTTGGCTGGAGCTCTAAGTGCCCGCGCCGCGAATTCGCGCATGTGAATCGGAAACGCTTAGCAAATCCCGTATGACTTGCATGAAGGCCCTGAACCCCAAACCCTAAACCCGTCCGATCTTGAGCACCTGATGACCTTGTTTGCTCCGGATCTAAGCCAATGACGCTGGAGCTGTGTCCATCTTCTGACAAAGATCTGAACATTGCTGCGCCGTGAAGGACGGAAACCTTCCAGAGGCACAGTTGAATTCATCGTGGGATGTTCGTGGGGGCTTTCAGATGCTTTCATCATCGTACCTGGCCTGATCAGGACCTCTCGGGCCACCTGGTCCAGGGACTCCGAGTCTGCGGCCGCCTGCGCTCGCGACAGGAGGGCCTCAGCGCAGCGCAAAAAACAGCTGAAGCGAAACCGAGAGAAAAAAAACAAAAGATGCGAAGCGCGGTGGTGCTGCTGCACGCCTAGGCCTAGTCCGTCCAATTCAGGTTCTGGATAGGCCGATAGGGGGCGAGGCTTATCAGTTCCTGTTGCAGATGCTTGTCCGGGGACTGCTCGAAAGCCCAGCACGGAGAGCTGGGTTTGTGCGAAATTGGTGACATGTGACTGCGCAGCGGCAGCGGAGGTGGCGTTTCAGGAGACAAACATGCACTAGTGCTGCATTGAGACGCCTCGCTGAAATTCAGCTATCCCTGCCCCTTGCGGGAGCACGGTAGCGCAGAGGAACAGAGCTAGACTTTCGTGACCTGGCCTCGAACTGAAAGTCCGCCTGGGTCCGCATGTCATCTCCCCCAACCTGAAGAAAGCTAACACGAATCTGAAAACCCGAAACGCCTGAAACCTCTCTAGCATCTCAGAGATTGGAGCGTTGGACACAACCATGCGCTTTTCACAGGCACTGCTGTGGCCTCAGGTCCTGCTCCAGGGAACACGGCCTGCGCGGCTCAGACAGAAAGAGACGGAGCGAGAGAGAGAGAGAGAGAGAGAGATAGATAGATAGAGGAAGAGGAAGAGGACGAGAAAGAGAAGAAAAAAAGAACAAAGAGGAAATGAGAGAGGGAAAAGTCGAGCACTCACGGCAATTCTGCATGTCTCTGCAAGCCTTGCAGGCCGAGAAGTGACCCCAAACACACGGAGCAACGGGGCCTTCGGCGGTCCACCAGAGCGCGGCATCTGCGCCTCCAGCACTCACTCAGGTATCTTTTCGCGCCCAACATCCAGCATTTGCATGGAATGACAATAGTAACAGTAGCCATAGGAACAGTAGCGGTAATACAGATAGAAATGATCATTGCAACAATAAGAATGGTAATACGAAGAAGAATCTCAGATTGGCGTTTCAATTGTGGTGCCTTTTGCGAGTCTGCGCTACCAGCGCGGGCCTGCAGCTGCACGGACTGCTTGGTTTCGCTCACGTTGCCCTGCAGACAGACACTTTAGGATCTGTATATGTATAGAATACAGATCAAGATATGCCTGTACATGTACACCTAGATGAGGATACTTATAGTAGGAGATACATATATGCATAGATAGATCTAGCACATGATCTGCTAGAAGACGGATCTGAAAAGTCTGTCTCTTCTCCTTGCGCTGCCTGCAGCCGCTCCAGCATTTTTTGCACGGAGTCGGCGTCTTTCTTCGTCTGCGGCATCTCATCCTGGAACATGCGGAAAGGACTGTTGCCGCGACCTTCTCTGAATCTGCCTGTTTTGAATTGAGGCGAGAACTAATACCTTTTCTTTTCACAACAGAAACGAATCTAAGAGTTCCTGTGCATGCAACAAATATCTGAGCGCGAGACATCGAAGACCCCTGGTCGGAGAAAGCCCTTCAATGTCAATTCCGGCCTTGGTGCGTTAATGTGCGATTTGCCGGTGCGCCGGTGCAGTCATCTGCAACCAAAAAACATATCTACGGAAGGGTGGCTTGTCGCAGCTTCATCGAAAAACCTCACTCCATCCCATCGAAGGAGGTGGTGTTGCTTGCATCGATTCAGCCAAACATAGAGAAAGATTCGGCCCGCCTGGCGGAGCATCGTTCTACGTCTTTTTTAACCCTAAAAGGCATCTTTAAAAAGCCACCATTGCCGCACCCATGATTGGCTACTCTCCGCTGCTCCCCTGAGATGGCCCTTTTAAGAAGATTCTGTGCCTCGGAAAGCAGCCTGAGGAGAGAACTCTGAGAGAAGGCGGAGAGAACGGCTCGCTCTGACTCCCCCATTCCAGCTTCTCGGCTCCCGACATCCTTCTCTGAGAGGTGCCGAATGTCATGGGCTGCGCACTGCCAGGTGTGACCTGAACAGCAGGAGCTCATCAGACAGTTCGTCAGAAATGTCGTCAGAAATTGTCAGAGGCTTTGTCAGGCATGTCGTCTCACATTTCAAGTGCTCTGTGCTCTCTTACACAGAAACAAAGGGAGACAGAGGGAAACAGAGGAGGAGGAGGAGGACAATTTGAGTGGAAAGTAGGAACCAGGCAGTTGGTGGAGGCGGCGCCTGGGCGAGACCAACACCAGAAGATCACCCCACAAATGCACCCTGTACATATATGCACGGGTCTTTTTAAGGTACATATCAGCTACACACAAGGAATATATATATATATATATACATATATACATATATATATATACATATCATATGCAATATATGAGAATACGTGTTTGCAGTCGCAGGTTCTGTGCAATGCTTTACATCCTGCAGAGAACAGCACTAAGAACAGTACACGGATGTATGAATACGGCACATACAGTACAAGAGCGCCGCTTGGAACAGTTGAAGCACGTTGCTAAGTTCGCTGCCGGTATTGGCATGCCCCTGTCGCCCCTGGCAACGCAGCAAGAGAGCATGATTCACATGAGCACCAGAGCGCCCGACTATTGCATTCCTGCGGAACCTGAAGCCTCAGCACCGGGCCCGCCCAGCAGGGCTGTACCCGGCAAGCCCAGGATGGCGCGCACCTCTCCAAGTGCAACGAAGCAGCAAGGACGCAATGAAGCACTGACGGGAGGCGCCAACACACCGGCGTTGGCCGTCCAGGGCGCGGGGCTTTCTACGAGATGGGCTTGGGGTAGAGTTCCACACGGCATCAAGCGGCAAGCAGAAGAGCCCATGCTTGGGCCTATTATTGGCTTGCTGCTTGCATAGTCTTGCCCTGCCTCTGCGACTGCCCGCTCCTCCAGAGTTCCCTCAGAGAAAGGTTCATGTTCATGGCTGCGGTTTGGGCAATATGCAGGCGAGTTTGTGGCGTCTGGTCAAGGAGTCTACAACTCACGACTGGAAAGTCCAGGCTCCCGGCTGGGCCGAAGGCGATCTGCGTCGAGAAGGGAAGCTCGCCAGGCGGAAAGTCGGACCTGGGCTAAGCTCGAGTTCACTGCACTGGACATCCCAACTACGTGACAGACATTGATCAGCTCCAGTGGCACGGCACCACAGCGTGATGATGCAAAGGACGTGGCGCACCGTCCACTTCCATAGACTGCCCATCGTTCTGGGACCTGGGTGGGCCAGCTTTGGGAGCCCCGCGAGGGTGTGCTCGTCTGAGCACATCCAAGGCAGTCCAAAGACCACATGCGCTCTCTCTCTCTCTCAATCCAGGTGTCTTTGGCTCTTTGTTGCTATGACTGTACCGTGGGGTCGTTAGCTTTGTAACACAACCAGTGTCCTGATATACGAAGCCACGCGAAGTTGTTATGCCAGGGTACGAGAGCTTTTGGCGCCATGCTGGCAAACTTCGCAGCCCTCTGCGGCCCTCTGCGGCCCTCTGCGGCCCTCTGCGGCCCCCGACGGCTCCTCGATGTCGCCGGCCTGCGCCCGGTCGGCGAGCCGCTGCAGCGCCTTTAGCGGCTTTAGCGTGTGTTTTGAATCGACCACGGGCCACACCAACTCGCTTTCGTGCCCTCTTAACTGTCCAGGTGGTCGTGAGGTGGTCGTGGTTGCTGCTGGTGCTGCAGACCGATGCGCAGCAGTTTGGGCAATGCGGGCTTGGTTGAGATCACAGGCTGAGTTTACATGCTTGGCAAGTGGTATGTGCCCATCTGTGCCTTCCAGGAGGGGGGGGGGGCAATTTAGCCTCAGGAACGAGCCCCAGGTTGACCAACATCCAGCAAGAGCTCAGCTCTTTTTGCACCGTGATCTCGCAGTCGCACAGAGCTCCACAGGTGAGCTGACAGAGCCTCGCTAAGGTCAAGCGGAGCTCAAGCCAACGTGGACTTGAAGCCCGTCTCAAGCTCAGCTCTGTCCAAGTTTCGGCCGATGAAGATCAACCTTGGAGTCTTGGAGCCGAAAGAAGATGCCAAGGGGGGGGGGGGGGGGGGGGGGGAAGTTTCCGCGGAGGCTCCTTGCCTCCATCTTGCTTCGCTGGCTCACCCCTTTGCGCATTGGGGTTAGATTCGGGAGGTCTGGGTAAGGGCTTCAGGTCAGGCTTCCGGTTATGCCCCCCCACATGTCCCCTGAAAGCCTCATGCCTCCCGCGTCTTTGTGATTCAGGATTCGGCTTCGGGGTTTAGTGCATGTGCGGTCTCGGGCCTGACAAGGCTTGTGGGGCAGGGCAAAGGCATCCGATGCCGGACGTACATGGATGCGTGTGGGACACGGAAGCATACATGGCTTGCAGCGAGGACAAGGTAGAACCCAAATGTCTAAACGTGACCCCTATGACCTAACTGATCACTTCAGAGGCAACGATAAGAAGAAGAACAACAATAATTGCATTACTAAACAATGAGCGCCATGCTTTTGGCGCGACTGCTCTCGCTGAGCGGCCGGTTCACGCGCTCGCCCGATGGCCAGGGATCTTGGGGCTGGCCACCGAAGATCCTGGGAGCACTTCAAAGCAAGATTTAAGCCTCCCTTTGGCAGCTGAGCAAGTCACACAAGGCAGTGCTCCGAGTGCGCCGAGGGGCATATGAATGCCTTGGAACACGAACTTGTGGTCACTGCCTTTGACCTCAAAGGGAGGCCACACATTTCAGGCCCTCTCTCTCAGAACGGGGGAGTCTGTGATTATGACCCCTCCTTAGGAAGAGTTCACACTGACAGTAGTCCCCAAGGTAAATTGAATTACGGAAATGTTGGCGTGTGATTCACTTTTGTTGCATTTTCTGTTGGTTTTCCCCTCGTGCTTTTGGGTTCGGTTTGCCTGCTGTCTTATATGGTGCGTTGTAATGCTTATCCGTTTAAGGCCGAGAAGCCGCCAGGACGCCCTTCGTGCGGAAGATGTCAGTGCCACGTTCCGTCAACAGCTTCGCTATCCAAGCGTTGAGCCCTGAGACATACAGTGCGGGTGCAGCTGCGTGAGATGGATGTCCCCTACACTAGCTGGTGCCATCTGGCACTCTGGTAACCCTGGTGACTCTGGCGACTCTGGTGACTCTGGTGGCTCTGGGGCTCTTGGTGCTCTTTTCCAGACGTTTTTGTTGGCTTTTGTGCTGTCATGTGGCGAGCTTGGTCACACTCACCCGGACATTCAATGCCCACCTGAGGCAACGGAAGCATTCACACTAACCAAGTCATCACAGGAAAAGTCACTGACCCGTCGCCAGATGCCGCCAAGAGGCCGAGCTCACGGTCTGGTCATGTTGGTGTTCCTGCTCATCTCTCAGAAATTCTGAGTCCGCCTGGCCAGTGCTTAGTAAAGAGTTGAAGGATTGGAGAGATGACAGGGCCCGCAAAAAGGCAATGGAAGCCGGAGCGGGAAGCCTTTGAGGACCGCACCTCCAGCACGCGGTCCAGGGAGAAGCCCTTGATGCCAATGATCTCCGTCAAGTCAACCTTGGCATTCCTTGGAGACTGCAGAGAGCAAAACATCGTCGTTGTCACAGCCCAAAAAAGCTGTTGTGCGAAGCGCATCGCATGTCCCGTGTCCCAGCGGCTGCGTGTAGATGATGGGCACCAAGCGGTTGATGGCCCTGATCTCGTCGGTTAACACCTTCACCTCTTCGGAACTTACCAAGTCTGTCTTGTTGATGATGATTCGGTCGGCAAAGGCGACCTGGCAAACACAGCAGTTTGTTTCAGAGGATGCCGTCTCTACAGGCGGATGTCCACATGCAAAGAGAGTTGATACTTACATGCACGCGAGCCAGTTTTCAAGGGGCCTGCTCCACAGCTTCGTTCTCGACACCCTCGGGTTTCTCCTGTGCAGTGCCCGTTCGCTTGCTTATTCGCTTGACTCCGAGGCTCTTTCTGCTCTTTCTGGTGCCTCTCGGAGGTGCTGCAGGGCATGCTTGGCCTGGCACGGCGTGATGCGCCAATGGGTAGTGCTGTGCCCAAAAAGACACCCGACTCACCATCCTGTGGCTCTGGCGTCGATCATGGTGATGATGCCATCCTGCTAGGTCTCTCGCAGGAGTGGGCGCAGAGCGGGGCAGGGCCGAAGCCTATTTCTGGGGCATGAACTTTGACATGCACACACACATAGACACAGAGAGATTGCTTTAAGCACTTCGCTGGCAGATATGGTGGGGACTACTGGCAAGAAAAAAGAAAAAAAGGAAAGCCGTCAGTTCCCTGCTGCACCCTTGCATGCAAAGCTCTCTAAGCCGTCCGAACAAAGCGCAAGTCGGGCTTGAGAGAATTTCGATTGATGTGCCGATAAACCGGCATGTGCATGCCACTTTGCCGTAAACAAGCGTGATTTCTTCTTGTGAGAACAGCCTGCGAGCACAACCTGGCTGAGATGCTCCTTCACGTAATCCACTACTCATGTGGGTTGTACTGTCACATGAACATACTGCATCACAGGCAGGCTGCACTGTGATCAGTCTCATAGGTTGCGCGAACCAGAAATGCTGTGCCCCCCTGATGGTAGGTTGTATGTTTTTTGAAAAGAACGCGATTGAAACACAAGCCAAGCATGAAAGACTCCATGTGCACATACACTAGGGCACTACACACATACACCCCGAAGGCGCACAAGGCAGGTCCAGCAGCATCTTCGACTGGATCACCTGAAGCAAAGACTCGTTACTTGCTGTTTTTGGGTGCCCCTGGCTTTGTCAGGCTATCGGCGTCATCTGCGAAGAAGGTCTGCGCCACTGGCGCTGGGTCGGCAAGGCCGGTGGTCTCCTGAGCACCCCGAACATCGTGCTAATGCCCCATGAAGGCCATGGGAACAGCAAGAAGCACAATCTTAGAGAGCAGGATCCAAATTGAGATCGAGGCACGATAATCACCCCGTCCAGCTTCGTGCCTTCCAACGACGTCTTCTTCAAGATGCTCCTGACAAAAACAGATACATGGCTGCAGAGCGTCTCGAGAAAAAGAAGAGCAAAAGAAGAGAAAAAGCGCCCGCGCACAGCCCGAGCGGGTCTGTCCTGAGGCCTTGAATCAGATCACCCCGCACCTGAGCCAACGGTGAGCGACCAAAGCTCTGAAGGACAACGTTGTCTTGGCACCCTTTCAAACCCTTCAACACCCTTCATCCCAGGCGCCGTGCAGCAAATGCAGCCTGGGCCGTCAACAAAACCGTTGTTGCAGCAGTAGGAAATGATGAAGTCGTGAGTTTTGACTTTAGTCGTAAGCTTCCGGCCGTTGTTCATCTCGATGATCTGCTCCGCACCTAGATCTTCCCTGCGTGCGATGAGCTTGTCATCAATACCGATCTCACCAAACTCATTCCTGGCAGGAGAGAAATACAAGGCTGGCCAGCTTTCAGCACCCGCGGCACACAATCTAAAACAGATTCAAGTCTGCACAAGTCGAGGCTCTCAATAACCGCATACCGCTTGGTATGCGACTCCTGGGAATCTACAAAGAGTGCAAACATGTACACACCATCTGTTGACACGGCTTGGGTTCACTAAGGTGCAGCTGAAAGACTCTCAGGATGTGGTTCAACAAGGTAGTCTTGCCGGAGCCCAGGAAGCCTGAGTTGATGTGCGTGCGACTTGCTGAACGTGGGAAGACTAGAGCTTTACAGTATCTCATCACGCTCCGCATTATGCCATGTGCGGAATCTGAGGCAAGTTGCCTGTAAGGATGTGCACAGGCACCTGCCACAGAAACTTGCTTCGTTCCGCTCTCTGTAGGCCACCCGCATGGTTTGATGCTACTTGTGTGCTACCAATGCCGTCGTCACAAACATAGTATGAACAATTCCCGGGGGTCGCCAAGACAATGTAACGTAGGGAGAAAGCCGACACCATGTACTAACTCACCCACAGCGTCGGTCAACTGTTTGCACCTTGTTCTGGGTCGCGGCCACCGCATCTTCTGCAATGCCTTCCTCCTTGACAGACAGTGGTGACACACTCGCTGCATCGGCTAGAGCCACATAAGGCGTCCTGGTACTTTTGCAGCTTCTCACACTCAGCGAGGAGTTCCTTGACTCGCGTCTCCTGCGTGACTGCATGCATGAAGACCTCCGCTACTTTCACAACGAAAGAAGCAGACATGCGTAATAGAGACGCAAAGCATAAAATATGCCACAAGCACCAACAGCGCACCCAAAAGTCAAGTCTGCGAACTTTTATTGCCAGTTTGGGCGAGTCCCCTCTTCCCAAGCGCCTTTGCCTTCGACCTGTTTGGGCAGTGCCCTGCCTCGGGCGCCAGCAATGCTGCCGCTCCAAGCTCCCCTGCAGCCCGCTTGAGTCCACCGAGCCCCATGAGGATGTCCGCTCGAGTGGCCCAAAGGCCGGCCAGGTCGACTGAGAAAGCGAGCGAAAGCAAGCATGGAACTTCGAGGCATCTCAATCACGTGTTCTATGTGAAAAACCGCCGCCTTTGGCACCCGCAGCCATGGATCCGGCGGCTTCCTGAGCCGGGTGAAGCTACGAGCATCCTGCGCAGCCCATTTTGCCATGTTTTACCGGGCGTCGGCCGCAAAGCGGGCAGGGTCTGTGAGCATCATGCCCTGCTGTTCCTCAAGCTGCGCAAAAGCTGACGGAGAAATCCCTCCACACGGCGAAACCAAGCACCCACAAAAATCTTGAGGCAAGCCGTTTCGTTTCCATCTTCGCCAAGAGAACCATGGAACGCCGGCACAATGAACACTGGGAAAGATACAGTGATGTGCGGGCCGCTTCAGACTGGATGCAGGTCAAGCCACTGTGCCCGTCCCCGCCTGGCTGTTCTCGAAAGACTCCTCGCAGGACGTCTCTGAAAGCAGAAGTCACGGGTGCGACACGCAACACAAGCCATGGCGGCCCGCTGCTGTCAGTTTTTCCCTCTCTCTCTCTCTCTCTCTCTCTCTCTCTCTGCACGCTTAGCCCCCCCCAAGGGAGTTCCCCCTCTCTCTCTTTCTCACACTCTCTCTCTCTCTCTCCCTCTCTCTCTCTCTCTCTCTCTCTCTCTCTCTCTCTCGCTCCAGCGCAGCGTTGATCAGCTGCACCGCTTCAAAGAGCCGCGACTCCTGGAGAACTTGAGAAGAAAAACGAGAACCTCTGGTTCCACGAGAGGGGCTCTCTGTGACAACGGGCAGGGGGGCCGTCAGGGGGTCGTCTCGGTATCGCAGTGGTCTCTCCACGTGTCACCTCTGCCGCCTGGCGCGCGCTCGCGTGCTTCTCTCGCCAGGTGTCGGCACAGGCCGGGGCCGTGCAGGCCATGGCGTGCGAAACGCGTGACTCTGTTGTTGCCGCTAGGCTTTGGGCGGTGAGGGTTCAAAGGCATGCTACGAGTATGGGGTGCTGAGATGTAGAAATGGGCTGAGTCTTGGGGTTTTGGATGGCTTAGAGTCTCAGAGTGTGGGGATGTGTTGGAGCTTGTTGGGTGTCTGGTCAGCCATGATACAACGGCCATCTACAGCCAATGGCTGACGGCTTTTGCAGAATCACGAGGAAGCCAGGCATGCCAATAAGGCGTGGTGCTGCATACCAAGCACCGGGTGCTCTGCCAGTCTGGCCCCTAAACCCTCTTGTTGCTCTCATAGGAGCTCCGAAAGAGGAGCAAAGAGGAGCAAAGAGGAGCAAAGAGCGGCCTCCTTATCAAAGGCCATGGGCTGCTCCTTCGGCTTGTCTTCCTCCACGGGCGCATATTGGGACCACTCACGAAAGAACACCTTCCTCGGGCCTTGCCATCCTCATCCTGCTGCAAGGCGTAAGATGTCCACCACCTCATATGAAGCAGGGCCGAGCACCCTTCAATGTGTCCCCCTGCATCTGACCCCGAAAACCTGGCCTTGCGTAGTAGTCGTTGAGGTTTGCCTGCATCTGATGGTTCTCCGGCCTTCAGCTGCGATCATAGGGGTTGGGGTTCAATTGCAACTGAGACTTGTTTCAAACCACAGGAGCCCATGTCGGCAAACAAATCCCTAGGCCCCTGCATGCCGGGCACCGCCGCAGCAGCCTCAACACCGAGTCCGCAAAGGGTACTGTTGACCAAGCTGCACAGCTTTGGATTCTTACCCGACCTGGTGCTCAGCAAGCCCTGAACTCGGAGCTGCCGCCATACGCATGCCATGCTTAGGGCCATGTTGAGAGAACGCCCCCCCAAGCCCCGTGCCGCCGCTGCGAGCCCTGGAGGCAGCGGCACAGGCAGCTGCCCCGCCTCGGCAGCTTCGGAATTATTTTGAGAAAAGGGTGGATCTGTTCAAAACAGGCAAAGGCAATTTTCAAAAAAAAACTTGGGCTGTTTTGTCTCTCACTTGGACATGCCCAATATGCAACATCAGCACATCACAGCTCTGTGGCCCTGCTTCGATAGTGCTCCAGAACATGCGAGATTCCACCTCAACGCACCAAAAACTCAGCCTAAACCCTGAAATCCCACCTCAACCAACCTGGTTTACTTCACCATGCCTCCACTTAGTTACCAGCATCAATACCCTGCTCATTTTAGGCCCTTATCCTCCCTTCCAGGCTCCGTTCCCCCAGCGGTCGGCCAGCAGCAGCCATCGCCGCCAGAACGGCGGCGGGAGGCGCCTAAGACTCCGAAGACTGGCTGAGGGGGTCGATGGGGTCGCAGTTTAGGGGTTTGGAGCTTGGAGCTTGGGGTTTGGGGTTAAGGATTTAGGCGTAGGGTGACCTTTCAACATTCATGATCCTTTGGCAAGGGCAGGGGGTGCTTTTGTGCGAGGACGCTAAAGCTCTGAGGACCCCCTTCTGCGAACCTCTTGCAGCCTCTTAAGACGTTCCCGGATCTGGAAAATCAAAAATGGCCCTAGTGGTTTCTGGGAATCTTTCCGTCTAAATTGCTGATGTTGCAACACCCCTCAGGCCCACCTCATGTGCTAGCATGCAGAGGCACCTTATGCAAAGAACCATCAAAGCGAAGCCTGCGCGCGAGTTCTGTCTTGCAAAAGACTTTTGCAAAGGTCCCCCTGAGAGCAGAGGTGTGAGCTGCAAAAAGCAAAAACTGCGAAGTCTGAGGCTGCGGGCGCCTCCGGGAGGCAGCCCGGGCAGGGCGACCGGTGGCGCAGCGGAGGCACCTTGAAAAGGCTTTCTCCAGCGCTCTCCAAGCCCATCGTTGACATCTACTTGCTCCCCATGATTCCCCAATTGCTCCAACCCCCCGTTACACCCCGTTGCTGACCTGGAGGCGGAGGCGGCGAAGCATCCTCCGCAGGTCTGAGGTGTCTGAGGGGTCTGAGGTGCAGAGATCTCTGAGGCTGTGTTCCAGGTCGTGTGGCTGTTATTTTTTTGGAAGCACAGACTGGACAGCGAGGCACTAACCATACTTCACTCAGCCACTCTTGCCATCCTCATTGTCGTCGGCTGCTTTGAGCCCTTTGACCCCGGCCAGCGATCCCAGCCTCGCAAAAAGCTGCTCGCGCTTCGAGGATGAGATTCAAGAATTCGAGGTTCAGTCTCATGGATTCAGCAAAAGGGCCCTCTTGATCTGCTTTCTGAAGTGAACGAGAAGTGCACAGATCGGCTTGGTCTTCCGGGCATTTCTTGGGCGAAATCACGCTGCTCTTTTGCACCAATTTCTTTGGGGGCCGCACGTTGCCAGGGACAAGGCGCCATCCACGACCGCTTTCTGAGCAGGACAGGAAGGCAGATAAGAGGCCGCTGCATGGGCAACTCTCTCCTTGCAACTCTTCAAGCTATTCTTCTCTTGCCTTCTCTCTCCTTCTACTCTCCTTCTTCTTCTCTCTTCTCCCTCAGAGGCGACGCGGGGCCCCCGGCCACAGTCTGCTTGCACTTGGCGACCTGGAAACAGTTATCACTTGCATCACTTGCATCATCTCGCATGCCCAAGAAGCACCACCGTCTTCCAATCGATTACCCCAAGCTGCCTCCTTCTCGGTGCCGCGTGCAGTAACACGGGCTTTGTCCTGGCTTTGCACCACGTGGACACAGCTCCAACGAGCTGCGGGCTTGTGCCCTCTACTCTGCTCAGTCGCTTTCTGTTCCGCCTCGCTTCGCTGGATCGGGCTGTACCACTAAGGGTTGCAAAAGGGTAGCCAAATCCACATGTGTGCCGTCTGCACTCTACGACCAGACTGCTGAAAACCACATCCTTGCACCCTCGTATCCGAGCTCACTCTCAGTCGGACGGAACACTGAATCACAGGCACTCGGCTTCTGTCGCTGGCACTTCCGCTGCGGAACTGTCCCGCAAGAAGTAAGATGGGGACTGGGTCCGAGAAGCTTGGGTTTGAGTTGTCCCGCAAAGATACATTCTCGGTGGTATCCTGAGGCTTCCCAAGTCAGATGGCGTAGAAGGACCCCAAGGTCCGAGGCCGCCCAAATGGGACGCCCAAAAGGGATGCCGGATGCCGAAAGCAGGAGCGGTAGCCTGGCTACCTGTGCTGTACATCGCCCAAGCAGAGGCAACCCTGGCGACCCGCTGGTCGCGATACGGCGCGATAAAGCGCTGCGCTCTCCCCCACGTTGCGGGGCAGCGCTGCCCAGGCGCAGTATGCAGGATGGGTGCACAAGCTGAACGTTAGAGGCTCCTTTTCCACTACCCTTTCAAACCCTCAGATCATCAAGTTTAAGAAGGTCTCATCACTTCCAAGACGGGCCGTATATGGGCTACACGCAGGCCTTGCAACTTTGTGAACGGGCCGATCGCTAAGCTGCCTCGACTCTCAGGCTACTCCGGCATCAAGCAGCATGCGCTGACAGCTTCAGGACAGCAACTTGCTTCGCAGAAGCGTGCAACTCGTAGCATGTGGTATGTTGTGGTATGATGTGGTATGCTCATTAGTGACCTTCTCGGTCTGCCGCCACGAAGCGTCTGGGTTGCAAAGAAACGCACACTGAGGTCTACACTTCAAAAAGCTGAAACCAATGGGGGCGCAGCAGGCTCCGGGCACGTTGTAGGACACCATAGGACAATAGGACACCGTAGGACATCGTAGGCATCGACATTCACAGAGCCTCTTGTTCCGGAACCGAAAGCCCTAGAGGCCGCTCTGGCCACTCGACCGCTGGGACTGCGGGGCACAGCACGAACATGCACGAAGCACATCGCATGTGGGGAGGATGCGGATGCTGACTATGCAGTATGCTAGAGATCCCGGCTGGCGCGAATTCCGAGGCTTGGGTCTGGGAGGTCAGCTGGATCGCCGGTCTCCAGACCACAGTAAGACAAAGGAATTCAAGTGCCGGGCTGCCGGAACTCAGAATCAGGCGCTTCACTTTCAATAATCCTGGTGTGTGGAGGAATCTAAGCTTTGCGGTTGAACTAAAGAGGTCACTTGAAAGGACTCAAGGCTCAAAGCTGCCGAGCTCAAAGCGAAGCCGGCAGAATCCGCAGAGCGCGGATGCAGCGTGTTGGAAGATGCTAGGGCGTCGATCGGCTCACCGCAAAAATCTTCTTCAACAAAGGAAATCACATTGGGGCACACGGCTTGAAGCTTCCCAATTAAACCATATCACCGAGCCGAAGGCAAGCCCGTTAAACTATTGAGAAACATGCACAACAACTGCACACCTGAAACGCAGAGGGCCAACACAGTTGTGAGGCCATGCTTCGTACGGTGGATTCTGAAACTGATCCTTCCGATCTCTGGGAGCCAGCGATTTCCTGCAGTCCTACAGTGGGCTTAAGTTGGCCGGCTGTTGGCTGGGCCCCCAGGCAGCGTCGACACACACAACGGACCCTTACAGTCCAGGCCGCATGCCCTCACAAGCGCGCGGACCTGCAAACGCAAAAATGCTCGAAAGGGATGTATATCTGATGTACATGAGGGCGTCTTGCGAGTCATGGTGTGAATCTGCAGCATGTGGAGACCGGCGAAACCCCTACAAGACATGCAACAGAAAGACACAACACGAAGCAAGACACCCAACTCGCGTGAGTCTAAGAGTCTATGAGTCGCGACTGGCAACCGAGAAGCGGTCGCGTGGTGGACGCTGCAGAAAGCAAATTCCTAAGAGCAAAAGGAAGCAAGAAAGAACAGGCACAGAGAAAGCCATGGCACGCGAGTTTCTCAAGCTTCCAGTGGTTGAGGCCACGGCCGGAATCCGAACCGCGAAGACCTGCTCCAGGCATCACCATATGCAGCTTACTTTTACGCTACCACAATCCGCAAGTTACGCAAGTGACCACGTAGTTTTGGTTTTGGGAGGTCACTGCGAGAATATGCGCAAGTTCATGTCTTGACGCGTGTAGCTCAACAGGTGCCGTGCCCGACCTGCGCGGGTGGCCGATCTGCGGCTCCTGCCGTTGCTTGCTGAGCCTGACAACATCTGACAAACGAGACGACTTGAGAAAAGATGAGGGAAAACATAGGAAAACACAAGACAGCACTACTTAGCACTACTTCCAAGGGTGCGGGAGTGGTGCTGACAGGGTGCTGGACAGGGTGCTGGACAGGGTGCTGGACAGGGTGCTGGACAAGTGTCATGTCTAGGCCTTTTCAGGTCTCTCGCAAAGTCATCTCGAGTCTTTGTCAGCACAGCGGCTGAGATTGGGCAAATGAGGTCTCACTGGAATTCTCTGGACTAGACGTCGCAGCCTGCCAGACAACGGCCACCTAACGCTTGGCGGCAGTAGTAGGAAACAACCCTCGCAACAGCTTCTGCTGCGTCCTTTACAGAAAAAAGAACATGCAATTTGGCGCTGGCAGAGCCCGCCAATATGGGCAGCACCCGCCGTTATCGGCAAGGATCTGCAATGCCCTTCTCAATCTCATCAAGCATTTCCATGATGCGCATCGACTCGGCCTTCGTGAACCTTCAGTGCAGAAGCTCGAGCTGCCAGCGCTCCTTCCCTCGATTGTGTGCTAGCTTCGAGCTACAGACTCAACAACTTCCGGCATGAAGATCACGAAGTGGTTGGTCTCTCTTTTGTGTTTTGCCCTTTGGCGCCGGCGCCGAAACTCTCGGATGTTTTCAAAGTGCCGCCCAAGCATCTGAGGACATTCCTTGAGGCCAGCTGCCAGGCACCGATGCACGGCCTCTGCCTGCTCCAAAAGGAGGCTCCAGTAAAAAAAACTCGCCTAATGCCCGCCTGGTACAGGAAGCCGTGCTGGTTCACGTAATTCCAGCCGGCCGCAGGCAGCCCAGCCTCGCTTTGCCAGTCGCAGCCGAGCTCTCACCCAAGATCACGAGCTGCGCGCGTGCGCGCGCTCGCGCGCGCGCGCAGATAGCAGATGGCACGCGTTTTGCAGCAGAGAGGCGGGCTCCGGGACAGGGTATGTCACCTGCTCCACATGCGGCCTGTCAAATGCAATCACCTTTGTCATCAGATTGCAAGAAGTATCTCACAGCCCATGCCGGAGATCCAATGTTAACGGTCTCCGAAACTATGGGAAGTTGAAAGCAAGGGCCAGCCAGTCAACTCTCAACATCAGCCAGCTCCCAACAGTTGTCTGCGCCTGACACCATTTTGCGCAGTGGACGTGTGGCCTTGTGGCTCGTTCCAACATTGCCTGAGCTGCACACAACAAAAATAGGAAAACAACACGCACCTCGCTGTCGAGTCGCTCGGTTGTCAGTCGGATGGTGATGCGGGATGGATGCATGGCCCAGTTGTCCAGAGTGATGCGGCCCTTTGTCCCAATGACCTGGCAATGCTTAGGGTGGCTCCTTTGGGCTGCAGGGCACCAAAAAAACCAAGAAACCTGTTCTCAATACGGTCGGCGACCCGATAAGAACCTTCGCTCTCTAAAAACCCAGAAAAAATCCAAATCCTGAATACGCTACACTACCGAGAAAAAAAAAAACTGACAAAAAGAACCCTTGAAATCCCTGCCTCGCACACCTCCGGCACTTCGCAGGCCCAGCTCGGAAAGGAGAGCACGGCAGCACCTCTCGCGCCACATCCCCCGGCCCCGTACTTTGGGTGTTTAGAGTTTCAGGTTGAGGGTTTCAGGGTTTGGGATCTAAAAGCTGACATAAGCTGACCAAGCGAAGAGGATCCCTCCCTTTGTGGACTTGTTGGTCCTGTGGGGATGCTTCCCAGTTCTCAGCATGGGGAAGCCCGGCAAGGCTTTAAATGGCCCCGGCGGTAGCGACACCAGGGTTGGAACAAAAACCATCGATTCCAAAGTGATGAAGGTCTCGATATTCATGATGCTGCAGTCGGTGGACTCTTTTGTGCTCGCACAAATTGGGTGCACAATCATCTCAGCCATTTTAAACGGCTGCTGGAGAAACTGTCCGCTTGTTTCTCCCACAACAGTCTTTACCAGCTGAGATGATCGTGCACCCAACTTGACTTGAGCATATATTCCAACCTCGAGCTTATGAGTCAGGAACAGAGCCTGATGGCAGATCTGAAGTCTGCACTTTCGGATTTTTTTGTGCATCGGCCAAGATGCAAGTCCCCTGGAGCCCTTGGGGATACCCCGGGCACAAGCCGGACCAAGCCAGGTACGACCACCACGCAACTTTGGATGAAGGTTGAGTCGGTTACAAGTGTCGGGAGCGGGCCGAGGGTGTGTTGGGAACAGGGGGGGCGCGTGTTGGGAACTGGGCAGGCGTGAGTCAGGAACGCAGGGGGGGTGAGTCGGGAACAGGGCCCATGTGTACAGCACGCCCGCGGTTGAGTTGGGAAAGGCTGGCCCCCAGAATTGGGTTTCGGAGTGATGACCCTACTCTGCAGGTTTGTTTTAAGTCCTCTTTCGACGACTTGGAGTTGGGTCTACAGTCTTCTTTTCAGCTTCCAAAGGGGAGACTTTACGAGGGGAACACATCCGATGTGTCATGTACCCGCACACCAATTCGGCGTGTTGGTGTGCGGGTTCATGACACGTCGGATGTGTTCGCCTCGTAAAGTCTCCCCTTTGGAAGCTGAAAAGAAGACTGTAGACCCAACTCCAAGTCGTCGAAAGAGGACTTAAAACAAACCTGCAGAGTAGGGTCATCACTCCGAAACCCAATTCTGGGGGCCAGCCTTTCCCAACTCAACCGCGGGCGTGCTGTACACATGGGCCCTGTTCCCGACTCACCCCCCTTGCGTTCCCGACTCACGCCTGCCCTGTTCCCAACACGCACCCCCCCTGTTCTCAACACGCGTGTGCGCAACAAACCCCAGTTGCAACCAACACGACTAACATTCACGCAACTTTCACTGAGCTGCGCTCCACCAGGAAGCTTGACCCTCTTCGCCAACGGGCCCACAGAGCCCTCTCATCGGCTCAGGATCTTCTATCAAGCTACCATCACAGGCGATGAAATATTTGCATCTACGTAACTTTATCGCATGTGGTGGTTGCCTCTCCTCAAAATGCTATGGCCTAAGTTCCTGAAGAGCAACCCAGGAGCGATACTTGAGGTTCCTTAAGATCCTTCCCCGACCTCGGCCGTCGTAGTGGATCACGGCCCCTCCGCCTGTGCCACCAGTTCCTGCCGACACCACTGCTGTCGGCGCGGTGGACCCGAAGAAGAGGGGTGCATACTGCACCGCGTAGCAGATCTCGGGAAAATCTGCCTGCGAGGCCCACGGAGCAATGCAGCCCGTCTATCTCACACCCGACAATCACGCAGCTCACGCATGCCACGCAGCCACGTCAAGGTATGCAGCAGCTGAGGGATGCCTGTACCATCCGCACCTCACCGATGGTGCCTGGAAAAGTTTGGTACCAACACACATTCGCAGGCCCCGCATGCAAAGAATGGACATTCTTGCCTTACAAGCCTTGCGCACACACACACACACACACGCTCACCACTCACTCTCAGTCTCGCTCTCGCTCGCACTCTCACTCTCACTCACACTCACGCTCACACTCCCTGAATGTCTTGACAGGGTTCCCGAATTGTCTGGCCCAAATCCCGAATTCGCACTGTTACCGCCTCGTGCCTGAATTGCCTTCCAGAGTCCCTGAAGTTTGTGCCCGAATTTCAGGGGCAGTTCCTGAATGGAACTACACACGCCCACACCCACGCCCACGCCCATGCCCGCGCCCACCCCCACACCCACGCCCACAACCATACCAACACCCACACACCCACCCACTCAGTCACGCCGTCTTGCATCCGACAGACAGAACAAGAGAGCTCATCTTAGACGCGAGAACGCATGGCAAAGAAAGTGCACTAGAACCCGAATGACTACAGAAAGCAACGAAAGCAACGAAAGCAACTGCAAAAAAGGCAGATCTGTAAAACTCCAAGTCTCCAAGTCCAAGCGGCCCAACTCGATGGCCGCCCGTGCGTGCTCCACAGCTGGAAAGTAGCGCGTCCACATACCTAGCACGGGTCAATCAAGAGAAGACGTTCAAGGGAAGACCCAGAGTGCATAAGAAGAGTATCTGCAAGAGCACTGCAGAGCACTCCTGCAGAGGACTCCTGCAGAGCACTCCTCAGCCAAGAGTCCTTCGATCAGCGCAACGTCTCTGGCCTCTTCAAAAGAGAGAAGACTCAGAAGACTTCTGTTCTCAGTAAGATATCGCAGCTTTTCAATGAGCAGTTCCCGACCTCGGCTGCAGCGTACAGCTCCGCAGCATCTGCCGCAGTTGTGGCCAAAGGCTTCTCGCAGAGGACCTCAGAGGAAGGCAGAGGTCACGATGGAGGGTGTTAAAAGAAGAGGGGCTTCTCGTCAGGGTTCTCACATGCCACGAGCCCGAACGCCACCCCAGAAAAACTGAAGCCATCTGAAACGCTCGTTCTACCTTGCGCTGACTTTCCTGCGCCTGACTGGAGCGGTAATTAAGATGCAGACAGCAAGCTTTGCTTATCTTCGAGAGAATCAATCGAGTCTCTCAGAAGCTTGTCTATGGCCAAGCCACATGCTTTCCAGCACTTATCGCCATTAGCACCTGCTCCTCAACGTTCAGAAACGTGAGAGGACTGGTAATGACTTCTAAGATGACTTGAGCTGGTCCCGCAGCCTGCCATCACTGCCGAACGAAATTATCGGTAAAAACTACAGCCGCAGGCCTTGTGCAGAGAGGTGATGGTCCCGATGTAGATAATGTCCACATCTGGGTCTGCAACGAGTGCCTGGTAGTCTGGTGCCACTCGCTCCACACCATGACTTGCAGCAAACCTCAGAAGAACACGGGGGCTTCGTCGCTTCGTCGCTTCGTCGACACGACTGCAAGTCCCCCCTGCCGAGGCACTTGGAAGCTTTCGCCTCATCCCGCGCGGCGCAGGATTGCAGCACGGCACCAGGCACCTCCTGCCATGCAAACCCCAAACAGGAAGCACAGCTGGTCCCAAGTCCCGAGAACTTGCCTTCAGGCACTTGCACCAGTCTGAGGAAATGGGCCCACAGCCCAGGATGCCCCAGCGAAGCTTGAAGGACACGTCCTCATATTGGACGGATCAAGCTTCTTTGGCTTATGATCTTCCATGCTGCAGCGACAATCAACGTGCAAGAGTTCTGCACAAACAGTCGTCAGAGACCGCAGATTTTTGTGAGATCCCGCGCAAGGCCGCATCCTCCGGCCGGGTGAGGCCAAGGCGGATGTCCAGTGGCGTCGCCATGCGGCGGCGGCGGTCCCAGCTCTTGCTCCCTGAGCACAGTTGGAGTGTGAGAGAGAGAGAGAGAAAAAAAAAAGAGAGAGATAGAGAGAAAGAGAAAGAGAAAGAGGAGGTAGAGAGAGAGGGAGGGAGGGAGGGAGGGAGGGAGAGAGAGAGTGGTGTTCTCGTTGGTGTTCAGTCTTTGGACCAAGCTCCCGGCCATCGTGGCAGTTGCAGGGTGCCTGCTTTGTCCAGCTGCCCAGTGCTGCCGCTGTCGCCGCTGTCGCCGCTGTCGCCGCCGCTGTCACTCGGAGAGAAGGCCGCAGCACCGAGTGCAGACGCCACATGGCAAAGCCAGTCGGGCACAGGACAGCAATCGGCACACAGCCTCCTTCAGAATCTGGGTGCGGGATTAGACACAGGCTGTCTACGTCTGCTGCATGTTCAGTAAGGAAGGCTACCATCTAAGGGCCAGCGGATAACCAAAGAACTGGTGCTCGAAGGAGCATCTGCGCAAGCATTTGCGTGGGCGGGCAGCTGAGGGTAGGGGAAGGGCATGGAAGGGCCAAGCGCTGCAGAGCCAGGTGTGGAGATGTAATCCCATGGCAACCCCATGGTGACACATGGTGACACATGGTGACAAAGTGACAACTTCACATCACACCACACTTGTCACACAACTGAACAAAACCCCAGCCTGGCGATGAGGGACTCGTGCGTCATCTTGTAGGCTTCAGCCGGCAGCATCCGCTCTTTGGGGTTCTGCAGCAGAGAAAACATAACTGCAAAACCATCCCAAAATTCACGTTGCCGATGAATCAGCCATGACCACGCACTGGCAAAACACCTTGTGCAGCAAGCCCTTCACGGCTTCAGCAACGTCTGCAGGCGTGTCTTGAGGAAGCTTGTTTGGCGGGTCTTGCACCTTGGTTGCATGTCGAACTGTCTGGAGAGGAGTGGAGCTGCCTCTAAACCCGTTCTGCGCATAGTTCACCAGGCCTACTTTGGGCTCACCATATTTCACCGTAGCTTGGCCACGGACTGGCCATTCAATAGCTCTCACATGCGCCTCTCTTGGAAGGCCCTGACCCCCCTTTACCCTCACTTTTCCCCTCAAGCTGTCCCAGGCCACGATTTTCATCCGCAGCGTGGTGTCGTCGCGAGCCTCGAAAGGACGGCGCAGCGCAGCCACTTTGAAGGAGACGACCTCAGACACAAAGCGACAAGGACACCGAAATCCTGTCCCTGACTCCTTGGACTTGCATCTCCACGCAACGGACACTCATCCTTAATTCTAACTGATTCTAAGCACATGGACTCTACATCGCAGGCCGCGCTGCTCCCAAACACCATGCATCTGCCGCCGGACTGTGGCAACCGCCGCAAGCAATCTCCTGAGTATTGGATTCTAGCCCGGTGCATGACAGAGCTGCTTTCTTGTCAACAGCGCTTGCGCCGTTATCGGTAGTTCAAGACCGAGAAGACTTTGTCAAGTTGAAACACAGCAATGCACTGGTGCGTCGAACCTCACGGCACTGTTTAATTCACCCCTGACACCGAAAAATCACCAGTCATGTAGCCAAGCTGCTGGTGGCAAGTAGCTCGGCGTGCCTGTCCGATTCTGGGGCCTACTGCAACATGCCGCATACACTATACGCTCGAAATAAAGCTCGACAGACTCTGAACAGCACGATCCATATGATGAATATTCGCAACATTTCCAAAACTATCTCCATGCTATCAACTTTATCATTCCTGTCATTGATAAAGACTATCAAGATGATTGAAAATTTCAAAAGATTGTCAGCATTCCCTACATTTTCAACACATGTACCAACACTGTCGACCTTATCGAGAGTGCTAGGAATGACCAACATGAACTACCAGCAGCATCAATACCGCCAACATTATCATCGATGCTCTGAGCCGCTTATCATCCGTAAGGTAGTTGCGTGGTCCCTTAGTATGGGCCCGTAATTGGGGAACCCGTCTATACCCCTTATGCACCAAACAACGGAGGCCTAGCGCTTCCTTGCTCTCCTCGAGGCCGTAGATGGGGCAGGCGAGGCCGAAGTCGGCCAAGACGATGCGCTCCTCTACAAGGGAATCTCTCGCAACAGTCGTAACCATAGCAGGAATCATGGAAAACGATGCGAATGATGATCCTGATGTCATAAGAATAAACAAAATGGGTGGGGCAAAGAACGATAACAAAACAGGATGATGCTGACGATGATGATGATGACGATGATGATGATGCTGATGATGATGATGATGATGATGATGATGATGATGTTTGAGGATAAGGATGAGGATGATGATGATGATGATGATCATGATGATGATGATGATGATGATGCTGATGATGATGATGATGATGATGATGATGATGATGATGCTGGTTCTCGATGGGGAGGAGGAGACAAATCATAACCATATCAGGAAAAGTAACATGAACAACAAACATGCTAGCGCTGGATAATAGAAAAGTTGAACGTGCAGGGAGAGGTGACCTCTGCATGAACTCAAGTTCAACCAGTTGGGCTTGATTCGACGGCGACTGGGGCCGATGCAGAGTTTTGGGAAAGGAGGATGTTGGCACACTTCACGTCGCGGTGGAGGAAGCCTGCCCGTCACAGCCACACAAAGCTTGCAACAATGGCAAGCAAGGCCGAGGCTTGAATTTGATCGCAGCCCCGGCGCTCTGATAAAAGCTCTGATCTCTGCTTCCCCCTCTCCTCCCTCTCTCCCTCTTTCCTCTCTCCCTCTCTCCCTCTCTCCCTCCCTCCCTCCCTCCGTCTCTCCCTCTCTCCCTCTCTCCCTCTCTCCCTC